TCTTCAGCAGGCTCGGGTAAGAAAAGATAAACATGTATTCCCAAAAGCTGATTCTATGTCAAGTATGTGGGTTTGTGTGTGCACATGGAGGATGTAATCATTATGAAAAGGATACTTACTTCTGAATAGCATACTAAATTTAGTTGAAAAAATGCTAAAATTATATTTACTTTTCCAGTAGTGATATTTATTAATTGAATATTACAGTTAAATCACTGTCTCTGTGCAGTATTGCCATAAATAATTCTGGCAGTCTCCCTCCATAACACACCAGATTTCTGTTATCTTTTTCAAAGAGTGTTGATGGATTAATATCTAGTACTCCCTTTTTTCACGTCCAGTTTTACCCTGCTAAGGCATAAATCAATGATTGATGGACACAATTAAAAAAATTAAATTTGAAATAAACTTTTTTTCCTTTAATCTTCTGCATAATTTAATGTATCCCAGATAATCCAGAAAACATTTTCATGGACCTTCTTGTATATGAAAAAGAACTTTCATATACAAATATGTATTCTAAACTCTAATCTTAATAATCTACAATATGTTTACAAAATTTGGTCGGTATTGACACATCTTCAGTTTATAATCTTTTGTCAGTTTAAAGCCCTCACTGTCTGTGGACTTATAAAACATATGATTAAATTTATTTTTAAGAAAAATTAGCTTTATTGCAGTTAAAATATACATAAGAAAATCAAAAGAATGGAATAGGAAGAAACTGGAAGTACTGTAATACTTATAGTATTGGTTTTCTTTTTAAGGAAGAAGGAAATAAAGGATTTATGGTTGGTATGGATATGGTTACCCACTTCCTAACCAATGTAAATCATTTCTGTAAAAACTTTTTATTCATCATCATGAATTTATATGTGTATGAAATATCTGAAAATATAAGCAAAGGCTGTAATTTACTCTCAGTATTTGTTTATGTATTTCATAAGACTATTAATCTAAAAAGATGTCATTATTTGGTTACACGATATATAAAGATAATGAAAAATTTTAATATTTGTTTATTAGACTTTGACATAATACAAATCTAAAGATATTTAAAATAATTTCTTATGATTCCTATAATTTGTCTTATAAATTGTATTATTTTGAACAATTTTATGGTAATTATTTGAACTTCAGTATTTTATGAGGCCATTGAATTCCTCATTTTTTAGTCCTCTTAATCTACTTGAAAAATAGGTAGCAAGCATCATAATTCCAATTTTTCAGATATTTAATCTCAAGGATTAAGAAGTATATTGTCAAAATTCTCATGGTGAGTCAGTAGTGGTACTTTGGAGATTCTACTGTTTTCATCTCGTGCACTTTTCTAATATGATTTCGCATTTATTTCTACTACAGTGTTATTTTTGATATCTGTTGTGATAAATCTAAGGATTCATCTTCTGAACTCTCTAATATTAAAAAATCACACAATACTAATTTAATATCTTTCAAATTTTTATCTTTTGCACTCTATGTGTTTCAGTTTTTCAAATATGCTAATTTCACATTTCTAATATTCATTGTAACAATAGTGCATGTACTCAGTTCACTATGCATATGATTATGCAAAATAAATATTTCTTTCTATATAACATTAAATCTAAGATTTGTTAAGAGACGTGTATCATGATACTTACTGACTAGTTTTGCTTCGTGCTGTCTGGCTTTAATTATCATAGATTTTTCTAAAATATAATTGGAAAAATTTTATTTAAAGCTCCTCAAATTGCTCATCTCTAAAAATATTTTCAGTGAGAATTGCATCTACATATTTGAGAGAAAAAGTTATTGTGAAGTAAACTTCAGCATAGAACATTATCAGATACTAGATTTATTCCAGAGTTTCAGATATGATAGAATTTAAAATTGAAAAGACGAATTTACAATTGAATTTAAAATTGAAAAAAATCATAAGTTTTCTTAAGAAAAGACCTCTGTAGGATTCAAACCAAGGTTGTCATTAATTTTAGAATCAATGGAATAAATAGATCAAATCTATTTTAACTTTTATTATTGATTAAACCATAATAATATATGGTACAAAATTGTATATAAATCAAAACAGTTTTTAAAATGTCTGTTGCTTATTTAAGTCTATTGTCATACCAGAAACTTGCAGTTTTTTCAGTAACCTGTCACTCTTTCTAGCATGTAGCTATTATACCTGTGTTGATAATGTGTTACTTAAGTGCACCTTGTACAAACAAATGTTATGTTTTAATATGCTCTTCCAGGACAGCATTTCTGAACTTGGTATATTTTATTTCCTAGATTGCTCTGAGAGGCCCACCTGGCCCAATGGGTCTAACTGGAAGACCAGGTCCTGTGGTAGGTTACCCAAAAAACCAATGTATGTTAAAATTCCTAAGTTAGCAGTTACTTGTGCAACTTCTGCTAGATATTGTTTATATGTCTGGCTGGTAAAAATAGTTGACATATACCTATTTATGCCTCCTACTGTTTCCATTTTAAAACTCTCTTTCAATTCAGTTTTTAGTATATTTTGTTGAAAAGTTTCAATGAGAAGTTTTCACATCAAATCAAATAAAAAATATAATTGAATCACATATCCAACTATTAATTTCTCAAACTGTAATTTATTTGCCTATATTCAGTTACTAAAATGCAATTTTATATTAAATTCTTGATACTCAATTTTACATTAAATGGAATTTTTATTTAAGGAGAAGTTTTCACATCAAATCAAATAAAAAATATAATTGAATCACATATCCAACTATTAATTCCTCAAACTGTAATTTATTTGCCTATTTTCAGTTACTAAAATGCAATTTTACATTAAATTCTTGATACTCAATTTTACATTAAATGGAATTTTTATTTAAAAAGGAAAATATATTTGAGGACAATGAAAATTATTACACAGTCTTAGGGGCATGCAAGTTATTTGGTTTAAACTGCAGGTTGCCTCCATATTCCACAAGAAGTTTGAGATATTAGAGAAATATTTTCTCTTTTAGAAACTCTTGGAAGTTTTATTTTTTCCTTACAGGCATGATAACAAGCTATGATATTTCAAATAGATTTTCTAAAATATATTTAAACATTTTGAAATTTACCGATGTAAAGTGAGCAAGGAAATAATTCACAAAAAACACAAAGGTGCTTTTCAAAACACGTTTTTTCTTAAGAAAAAAAATTTGTAAAATTCAAACCAAAGTTCTCATTAATTTTATAATCAACAGAATAATTTTCATTTTAAGGATTTATTTTTTTAAATATAAAAAGCTGTTTCTACTCTGCTTTTATATAAATTCATATGATTTCAATAAGTTTTATAAAGATATTTATAGAATATATTGTTCCAAAAGTTAAAATCTTATTTGTGATGGACTTAGTAGGCACTTACAGTAAAACTATTGTATTTAAATTTGAATCAAGTATTTAGTCTTCTAATTATTTAAACTGTTTTACTGATCATATTAGGATGACAAAAAGTTTTATTTATGTATTTTTGTTACATAGTTTTCCATAAGTTTATATTTCCTTAATTCAGTCTTGAATTTTGACAACATTTTATTTTGAAGGGCTACACATTCAATCATATGAGCTCATACAGAACATAAGTTCCAATAATATGTTTCACAGAATTTAAATTATACATATTCCTAAACATATTATCAAGTGTTTATCATATATTTTTATTGTTCTGCTTTTCAAAATGCAATAAGGAATATAGAATATTCTATGCCACATAACAATGGAGGAAATATAATTAACATTTAATTGCTTGTTAGTGACTCAAATTTACATGATTGAGGAACATCAGTTGTAGTAAGCTAGTGTTTTATAAAATTTGGGAGCAGAAGAATTACTTTGGAATTTTATTAAAAATAAAATTTCCTGGGGCCCTGAACTTGAAAATCTAATAATGTAGATTCAGGAATGGGACTGGTGTACTGTATTTTTAATGAATGCACTAGGTTGATTCTTATGGCCAAGCATGTTTGGGAAACACTGTCATGTACTATTTAATTTACAAAGATCAACCTAAGATCTCTAAAACTGTATCATTCAAAAATTTTTATTACTTATCATCTTGACAAACACAAGCAAATGAACCTGTAGCGGGTAAGGGCAGTGATGAGCAGACCCAATGGAAGCATGTGACGTTAGCAGTTTCTGTTTTCACCAAACTACCATTAAGGGTCAGCCCTTTTTTCACAACACATTGGCAAAGAGAAAACATTGACAACCATGTACACATTCACAATGTCCATTAATTCTCAGTGTCAATTAACAGCCAAGGTCAACTAATTTTATCTACTTATTTCTTTGCAATGGAGAGTTTTAGCTGCCTAAAAAATTCAAGGTAGGCATTGAGAGAAATAAAACCACATCGATCTTTTCACCATTTTCTCTTCTATTATATAATGTTCCAAAACATTAAATTATTATAGACTTTCAAATATCTGTTAATCCTAGAGTCCAAGAAAGTACTTCATTAAGATTTAAAAATGAAACAAAGTCTATGTAAATACTTTGACATAAATATGTACATTTTTTAATGAAAAAATATTTTATCCATTTGTTTTTATCCAATTGTTTTAATAGACAAATGGAAGTCTGTTTTATAAAATATGCAGGGAATGAAGAATTTTTTTTCCTATTTTATTATTGTCAATTATTGTGTGACTATTTTTAGAGTAAGCGTTTGGGCAAACTAATTATAATCAATTCAGTAGGTAGTACTTATATACAGAGGATATAATTCAGTCAATTAATTAAAAATAAGTCAACAGTTATATAATGCATTCAATTAAGTGATGAATAATCTGACTTAATGTAGAACACCAGTTTTTCTCTTGTTTGGTTGCAGAATTCTTAATTAGAATTTTGAAAGAAATCATTCTTCTAATTTTCAAGATTAGAATATTCTTAGAATATTACAAATATTACTTGACTTCCCATATTTTGGTGGAGTCATATAATTAATTATTTACTTTATAGTCACCAGGAAGCTCTAGACAGCTAACATTTTCACACTTAGCATAATGTTAATGTTTGTTGTACTTGGACACAATGCACTATGTAATAGAATGTGTACTGACTTAAATAAATTAGAAACTTCTTAAACACCCAATGTATACTTATTCAAAATGAAGTAATTATAATCACCGTGTTCATCTTTAACGTTCTGAAGCTTTTGGGGGGTATGAATGGCCTAGTGTTTATTTTTAATATGTAAGAGGTGTTTGTTATAAAGATTTATTCTCATGGGTAAAAACAAACAAATCTGGGAAAAAATGCTTTCATTTTACATCATTTTAGGATAATTATAATGATAGCAATAGCATCTGGTCTTGAAATTTTATTACTATAGAATTCAGCATCTGAGAAACACCTGAGTTTAAAAGCAGTAACATGTCCTCTCTGGTATAAGTGGATTCACTGCATACCTAATTCTGTAAAAATGTGTTGCTGTAGTATTAACACTACAGTGTAGTGGCAAATAATGAGTTGTGTATCATCATACATGCTCTGACGGTGTACACATTAAAGAAAATTTCAACATAATTTCATGAGGTTGGCTACCATATAGTTATGTATATAATAAAAGGGTGCTTCAAAAAGCTCATGGAAAGATTTGTATTATCTTTCAATTCTATTTTTCCATGAATTTTAAAAAGTACCCTTATATAGCCCTTTAAATATACCTCATATATTGGAATAAAATAAGTATGCTGAGAAGAGATATACTTCAATCAAAGGACTTGAAAGTTTTATTGTATTAACTGCTAAGATCATATTAACTTAATTAAATATATTTTGAATAGGTTTTAGTTCTTTCAAATGAAAATAGTAGGAGAAAAGTGGTTAGGGAACTGCTAAAATAAATGATATATCCTCACTTTTTCTCTGCAGGGGGGGCCTGGTTCTTCTGGGGCCAAAGGTGAGAGTGGTGATCCAGGTCCTCAGGTAAAACAAACAAAAAAATGGTTCTTTTATTCTTGACTTTATTTTACCTAGTAGGGCAATTGAAGTATCTGCTATCTGTTTTATGAGTAAAAAAATTATATATATATGTTATCATTAAGCCCACATTACCCCTTTAATTAAAAAATTGTAAATGGCCAATTGACTGACAATATAACTTACTTCATTTAAACAGTATTAAAAGAAAATAATGAACTAGGTGGGAATAGGCTTGAGGGGAATAAGCCTTCTGAACAGTAAATGGGCAGAGCAGAGCAGAGCAAAACAGTTGCAGTTGTACTTACAGTGGTCCTGCCACGTGCCTATGTTTTCTATGAAGAGTAAATTTACCACGTTCTCATATAAAGGATGTTTAATATACTTAATAGACACTAACTTCAAAACCTTCATAGAGCTGAAGAAATTAAGAGAAATTGTGAACATGTAAGTTGAAAATTTTTGAAAGATAATAGATTGCATTTGCATGGTGCCAAATTAAAAGTATTATTTTTCTCTTAATGATGGTAAATAGATACAGACATTCATTATGCAACATATTTATTCTAGAAAATAGAAAAACATAAAGTGATGTATTTTTAAAATGAATTCATTTTAAATGCAAGTGATTCCTCAAGTATTCAACAAATATAAATTCAGTGTGGGCTGCAGGAGCTCTCAAGTGTCCAATTTTTTTCTTTTTACATTAATTTCATCTTTTAAATATTATAAGAAAATTAAATTACAACACACACACACATATATGTAGTTTGGAACCACACCGTAATCATGAGGATAGAGATTAGTTCAATTTCTTGGTGTTACCTCTTATAATCATACCATCTCCCCACCCCTTATACCTGGAAACCACCTATATGTTCTTAATCACTACAGTTTTATCTTTTCAAGAATACCATATAAATGAAACTATACATTATGCAGCCTTTTGAGACTGGTGTTTTGGAGACATCGTAATGCTTTTGAGATTTATCACAGCTGATGAGTGGATGAAGAGTACATTCCTTTTGTTGCTTAGTAGTATTCTATTGTATGTATGCACAACAGTTTATTTTGAAATGAGAAAAAAACTCCAAAGAAAATTGGTAAAGATATTAGGGTGATTCAGGGTGTCCCAGTCTTCTTTTTCATGCTGGGTTAACATTGCCATAAAAGGATGGGAAGCATTTGCATTTTAACTGGGAATTGCATAAAAATATTGAAATTACACTACATGAAAATCTAGGGAGTTCATTCTTTTGCAAAGTTCATAAACTTTTTGTTCAAACTCTCCTATTTACAAACTAGATGAATCTAAATACATACTGCAGTAGTTTTCATGGATTTTGCAGTTTTCCTTGACTCCCTAAGTCTAAAGAGAGAGATGTGACATCAAAAGAAGGATACTTTTCATTAAAAACTAACAATATTTGTTCTGTTATTATTGCTCTTTTCCTTCCAACTGGGGATCAGGGTAGAGTCCTCTCACTACAATTATCTTTTTAAAAAGTTATACTATTTAACCTCTAATTACTAGGCAATCCTAATTTTATATTTCTAGAATCAGCATTTTACAGTGATCATAAAAATTTATTTGTAATTTCAATCATGGATTTCATTTTTCTACCAGGCTCGTTATATGCATATCATTTAAATTAACTTTCAAAAGTGTATACAGTCAGTTAAATATAAAGGGCTATAGAATAATTATACTGAAACTACATTTGACATATAATTAGCTTTGAAAATTTATTTTAAAACATGTATATATTAATCCCTACATAAGGTATATATGGATAGAACATTATTTTGTACTGCTACTAAACAGAAGGATAATATAACATGTACTGATAATTTTTAACCTTTAATGGTATGGTGCCAGTCAATAATTTGCTTTAGAAATTGCCAAGTCATCCTCCAGGTTTTGCAGATGATTGAAGAAACAAATACCGGACACTGTGCTAATTTGTAGGAGTAAATGCAGAAGAAAATAGATGTAATCAAAGACTTTGGCAGTTAATTAATCTAATGAGAGCTTCAACTATGAGAAAAGGCAATTACAATCCAACGTGATAAGTGCCATGAAAGAAGAAATATGTAGGAGAAGCAAAAAAATAAGAGAAGGTGTGGGCCGGCCCCGTGGCTCACTCGGGAGAGTGCGGCGCTCCCCAGCGCCGAGACCACGGGTTCGGATCCTATATAGGGATGGCTGGTGCACTCACTGGCTGAGCGCGGTGCGGGCGACAACAAGCTGAGGGTTACGATCCCCTTACTGGTCACACACAAAAAAAAAAAGAGAGAAGGTGAAGGAAAGGGGGTTGGAAAGAAAAGACAAATGGGATGGATGGTTAAGATTGTCTTCAGTCAAGGGAAATGGAAAATTCCAAGTTTTGAGTCTAAAATGAATAGTTAAGGATATTTTTAAAGTTTAAAATATCCCAGTATATTTCTTTTGTTTAAGTGTCATCACATGTTTACATATAAACTTATAAGTAATATGATCTTTTTGTAAGAAGCCATTTAGAAAAATTGATTCTCTTGTTTTCTCTTTATCTGGACTTTTACATAGAAATAATTTCCTTAAGTTTAAGTGATTATAGATAAGCTAAGAGGATATCAGTTTCTAAAACCATCTCTCTTGGTGTTATTGACTTTATTGATCATATAATATTATTGTATAATATTATTTAATTATGATGTTTTGAAATAGGGGCCTCGAGGTGTCCAAGGTCCCCCTGGTCCAACAGGAAAACCTGGAAAAAGGGTATGGCTGATTTTTGTTGTGTATTTTGAGGGCATGTGCAATGATCAGTTCTTTAGTTTTCTTTATTCTCTACTAGTGGGAATCCCTTTTGCTTAATCATGTTCTTGACATCATCAGGGCCGTCCAGGTGCTGATGGAGGAAGAGGAATGCCAGGAGAACCTGGGGCCAAGGTCAGGAGCTCATATATTTATATATTTAGATCTTGTATGTTGGCTCACCCAGAACATTTTATATTTTAAAATAAAATTTCTAGATATAAAAGGATACTTTAAATTACAGTACACATCTATATGGGAATGTGATGATGATGATTATTATGATTTTACAGGGAGATCGAGGGTTTGATGGACTTCCAGGTCTACCAGGTGATAAAGGTCACAGGGTAAGATACATCTATTACATTTTTATCCAGAGATAATAGGAAGGTCATGAAATATTTTAGAATGGATGCACTTGAGGAAACCAGAAGAAGAATAAAATAATTTTAATATTTGTGAATACATTTAGTAAATTATTACATCAAATTGATAGTTGAAAAATATAGATAAAATTATACATGTGGCATCAATGTAAGCTCTTTAATTATTTTTAGACATTAAAATATTCCTTGTATTCAAACATAAGTCAAGGATGGATCTTTATGTACATGTATATGGAAAATATCACATTAATAGAAGAGCAACTGTGGAGATTAAATTTTGCTTCTAATTTTTTATAATTGTCTCAAATTCTCGCACATTTTGCCTGTGGAAACATACTCAAAAGAAGATATCTGTAGGCAGTTTGTCATTAATATAATGATTTACTGGTACTATATTATTTCTTTGTGATGATACGAGCTTTCAGTCTAATACAAGAGCTTATGATTTGCTAAGGCTAAGTAAACTACCAGGCTGAGTAGCAATTCAATAGATATTTTTAGTGGGAAATTAAGAAGACACATTCTCTCAAAAAAAAGAACAGCTTTGGATCTTCACATCTTCTTTACCAGAAGTTCAAAATGAAGGTAAAACAAGCTTTAGGTATATCGGAGAAGAAAAAAATAGAAAAAGAAAAGAGAACCCTATCAAATATCTAGTGTATGCCTAACATGTCGAGATATTATTATTTTAAAAATTTCAAAATTCCTTTTGTGTTTTTGAGTTGTGCTGACTTTATATAAATTATTTAGAAATAGAAAATATTTAAATTATAATCACCAAATCGTATCCTTGTTTAAAAAACCATCCCTAGCAAAATAATGTTCTAAATGCTTTAGATTACAGTAATTAAATGTCTGAAAAACATTTTAGGTATTTATTTTATTCTAGCCTTTTTATGTTGAAAATTGAGGGAACATTTTTCCTAGCATACTCATATGTACAGCTGGTTAAATTTGTAAAACTATAATTTTTCTGCACAGTTTTCTGAGGTGGGCAAATAAAGCTAAGTTTTCTCTATTGTATTTCTTAGTGTGGCTACCTGATAGACTTGTAAACATTCTGCTTATGTCATACACTAATCATATTTGTACTTATTTGCTAGGGTGAACGAGGTCCCCAAGGTCCTCCCGGTCCTCCTGGCGATGATGGAATGAGGGTATGTTAAGAGTTATTTTCTTCTCTTTAAGAAATATTTAAAATTAAAACAAGAGAACAAAATGATATTGAAATGATACATTGTCTAACTACACTACCCTCCCATTCATTTTGTCAATGACAGGGAGAAGATGGAGAAATAGGACCAAGGGGTCTTCCAGGTGAAGCTGTAAGCAACTCTCTTTCTTTCTTTCTAAATAATAATATTTCTGTTTTCGAGGAGTAGCGACTGCTGTTACACACATAAAGACAATGGCAAACACAGGTAAATATATCAGTCTTACCTAAGCTAACCAGGTAACTATCATGTGAAAAAATAAAGAAGGATTGGAGAACAGGTATCCCTTCGACTTGATGATTTCCATTCCCAGCAGTGGGATAGCTGGGTCAAATGGTAGGTCTATCTGCAATTGTTTGAGGAACCTCCATACCATTTTCCATAGAGGCTGCACCATTTTGCATTCCCACCAACAAGGTATGAGAGTTTCTTTTTATTTGCAACCTCGCCAGCATTTATTATTCATGGTCTTTTGGAATTTAGCCATCCTAACTGGGATGAGATGGTATCTCAGTGTGGTTTTGATTTGCATTTCCTGAAGGCTGAGTGATGTTGAGCATTTTTTCATGTGCCTGATGGCCATTCGTATATCTTCCTTTGAGAAATGCCTATTTAGCTTTTTTGCCCATTTTTTAATTGTGTTACTTGTTTTTTTGTTGTAAAGTTGTTTCAGAACTTTGTATAGTCTGGATATTAATCCTTTGTCAGATGTATATTTGGTAAATATTTTCTCCCAGTCTGTTGGTTCTCTTTTAACTCTGTTAATTGTTTCTTTTGCTGTGCAGAAGCTTCTTAGTTTGATATAATCCCATTTGTTTATTTTTCCTTTCGCTGCCCCTGCTTTTGGGGTCATATTCATGAAGTCTGTGCCCACTTCTACTTCCTGAAGGGTTTCTCCTATGTTTTCATTAAGAAGTTTTATTGTTTCAGCCTGTGTATTTAATCCTTTAATCCATTTTGAGTTGATTTTAGTATATAGTGAGAGTTATGGGTCTAGTTTCATTCTTCTGCATATTGATATCCAGTTATCCCACCACCACTTGCTGAAGAGGCAGTCTCTTTCCCAGTGTATAGGCTCAGTGCCTTTGTCAAAGATCATATGGCTGTAAGTGTGTGGGTTGATTTCTGGATTCTCTATTCTATTCCATTGATCAGTGTGTCTGCTTTTAAGCCAGTACCATGCTGTTTTAGATATTATACCTTTGTAGTATAGTTTAAAGTCAGGTAGTGATATGCCTCGAGCTTTATTTATTTTTTTTGCTCAGCATTGCTTTGACTATGCGTGGTCTTTTGTTATTCTATATAAATGTTAGGATAGTTATTTCCATTTCCGAGAAAAATGTCATTGGAATATTGATAGGGATTGCATTGAATTTGTATATCACTTTGGGTAGTATGGACATTTTCACTATGTTGATTCTTCCAATCCTAGAGCACGGGATATCTTTCCACCTTTTTGTGTCCGCTTTAATTTCTCTCAGCAGTGGTTGGTAGTCCTCATTATAGAGATTTTTCATATCCCTGGTTAACTCAATTCCTAAGTACTTTATTTTTTTGGTGGCTATTGTAAATGGGCAAGCTTTCTTGATTTCTCTTTCTGCATGTTCACTATTGGAGAATAGAAATGCTACTGATTTTTGTGTGTTGATTTTGTATCCTGCTACTTTGCTGAAATCATTTATCAACTCCAAGAGTTTTTTTTTTGTAGAAGCTTTAGGCTGTTCGATATATAGGATCATGTCATCTGCAAGGAGGGATAGTTTGACTTCATCTTTTCCAATCTGGATGCCCTTTATTCCCTTCTCTTCTCTGATTGCTCTGTCTAGTACTTCCAACACTATGTTGCATAGGAGTGGTGAGAGTGGGCATCCTTTTCTAGTTCCTGTTCTTAAAGGAAAAGCTTTCAGCTTTTCCCCATTCAAGATGATATTGGAAGTGGGTTTATGATATATGGCTCTGATTATGTTTACTTTCCATCTATACCTAACTTAGAGAGAGTCTTTATCATGAATGAGTGTTGAATTTAATCAAATGCTTTTTCAGCATCTATAGAGATGATCATATGGTCCTTGTGTTTGATTTTATTGATATGGTGTATCACATTTATTGATTTGTGTATGTTGAACCAACCTTGCATCCCTGGGATGAATCCCACTTGATAATGGTGTATAATTTTGCGTATGTGTTGCTGTATTCTATTAGCTAGTATTTTATTGAGGATTTTTGCATCTATATTCATCAAGGATATTGGCCTGTAGTTTTCTTCTTTAGTTGTATCATTAAATGGTTTTGGAATCAGGGTGATGTTTGCTTCGTAGAATGAGTTTGCAAGAATTGCTTCTGTTTCATTCTTTTGGAATAGTTCATAGAGAATTGGTGTCAATTACTCTTTGAATGTTTGGTAAAATTTTGCTGTGAATCCATCTCGTCCTGGGCTTTTCTTTGTTGGGAGCCTTCTGATAACAGCTTCAATCTCTTTTACTGTTATTGGTCTGTTCAGATTTTCTGCATCTTCTTGGCTCAGTTTTAGTAGTTTGTGTGTGCCCAGAAATTTATCCATTTCCTCCAGATTTTCAAATTTGTTGGCATATAGTTGTTTATAGTAGTCTTGAATGATTCCTTGTATTTCAGATGTATCAATTGTAATATCACCTTTTAAGTTCTAATTTTTGTTATTTGGATCTTCTCTCTCTCTCTCTTTTTTTTTTTTAGTTAGCCATGCTGATCATTTGTCAATTTTATTTATCTTTTCATAAAAACAACTTTTTTTTTTTTGTCTTTTGTCTTTTTCCATGTCCGGCAACGGATCACAACCCTCAGTGTTGCCCCCGTACCAGACCCGGGACCGGCAACGGGATTGCAACCGTCGGTGTTGCTCCCACGCCTTGCTCAGCCAGTGAGCGGGAACCGGTCTGTATGTGGGATCCGAACCCTCGGGCAGGAGCGCCGCCGTGCTTTCCAAGCGGCGCACTTATCCAGTGCACCACTGGGCCGGCCCAAAAATCTTCTGAAGTAAGCATTTAATGCAATAAATTTCCCCCTTAGTACTGCTTTTGCAGTATCCTCCAGGTTTTGGGATGATGTATCATTTTTTTTTTATTAGTTTCAATAAATATTTTGTTTTCCGGTTTGATTTCTTCTTGGACCCATATGTCATTAAGTAGTATGCTGTTTAATCTCTATGTGTTTGTATAGTTTCCAGAATTTCATTTCTTATTGATTTCTAATTTTAATCCATTGTGGTCTGAAAACAGAATTGGGATAATTCCAATTTTTCTGAATTTGTTGAGACTTGATTTACGTCCTAATATGTGATCTATCCTGGAGAATGATCCATGTGCTGATGAGAAGAATGAATATTCTGAGGTTGTTGGACAGAATGTTCTATAGATATCTGCCAAGTCCAGTTGGTCTAGAGTATTGTTTAGATCTTGTGTTTCTTTGCTGATTCTTTGCCTAGATGATCTGTCCAATATTGGTAGTGGGTAGTGGGGTGTTCAGGTCCTCTGATATTATGGTATTAATGTCTATTTCCTTCTTTAGGTCTAATAGAGTTTGCTTTATAAATCTGGCTGCTCCAACGTTGGGTGCATATATATTTATGATTGTTATGTCTTCTTGGTGGATGAATCCTTTTATCATTATGTAGTGTCCCTCATTATCTCTTTTTATGGTTTTTAGTTTAAAGCCTATTTTATCAGATTTAAGAATAGCTACTCCAGTTTGTTTTTCATTTCTATCTGCATGGTAAATCTTTTTCCATCCTTTCACTCTTAGTCTATGTGACTCTTTATAGGTGAGGTGGGTCTCTTGAAGACAGCATATAGTTGGGTCCTGCTTTTTAATCCAGTCATCCAGTCTGTGGCTTTTGTTTGGGGAATTTAATCCTTTTACATTAAGAGTTGTTATTGAAAAGTGTTAATTTACTCCTAGCATTTTATTAATTTTTGTTTGGATGTCTTAAGTGCCTTTTTTTCCTTTCTTTCTGATTTACTATTTGTTTTCTGTATTTGTTGGTTCCTTGGGTTGTAGATAAACTTTTTTTTTCTTCATTGTTACCATTTTTATTTTACTAGTGGGTTTTGATTTTTCTTGAGTTCTTATGGCAGTGGTAGTTATTTTTTAGGTACCAAACCCAGTACTCCCTTGAGAATTTCTTGTAAGGGTGGTCATATGATAATTAACTCCTGCACTTTTTGTTTGTCTGAGAAATATACTATTTTCCTTCATTTTGGATGGATAGCCTTGTGGGGTAGAATATTCTTGGCTGGCAATCTCTGTCTAATAGTATTTTGAATATATCATCCCATTCCTTTCCGGCTTTTAGGGTTTGTGATGAAAAGTCTCATGTTAGTCTGATTGGGGCTTTCTTATAGGTGATTTGACGCTTCTCTCTTACAGCTTTTAAGATTCTCTCTTTGTCTTTTAGTTTTACCAATTTGACTATAACAAAGGTCTTCTTGGAGAAGACCTTTTTGGGGTGAATACATTTGGGGATCTTTGAGCTTCCTGAATCTGAAAATATGTGTCTTTTCCTATACCTGGGAAGTTTTCTGCCACTATTTTGTTGAATATGTTTTCAGTGCAATCTCCTTTTTCCTCCCCTTCTAGAATACCTATGATTTGGTTATTTGAGCACTTAAGGTTGTCTGATATCTCTATTAGATTTTCTTCAATGTTTTTAATTCTTTTTTTCCTTTCTTTTTGTCTGACTGTGTTATTTCAAACAGCCCATCTTCAAGGTCAGAAGTTCTCTCTTCTGCTTCTGCAAGCATGCTGGTTAAACTCTCTGTTGTATTTTTTATTTCATTGACTGAATTCTTCAGCTCTGCAAGCTCTGCTACATTCTTTTTCAGGGCATTGATTTCCTTGTACATTTCTTCTTTCAGGTCCTGTATACTTTTCCTCATTTCATCGTGTTGTCTAGCTGAGTTTTCTTGTATCTCATTTAGTTTCCTTAGAATTATCACTTGAAATTCCTTGTCAGACATTTCAAGGGCTTCTTGTTCTATGGAATCTAAATCTTGAGAGTTATTACCCTTAGGTGGTGTACTTTCTTGATTTTTCGTATTTCTGGTATTTTTCCTTTGATGTTTAGTCATTGTGGCAGGGGATTTCATGGTCCACTGGTTTGACACTATTGTCTGGCTAGGATGCTGCTGGGGCTGCCAATTTGGTATGGCTGTCTCAGTGTCTGCTCAGTTGCACACTAGTGTTTCGGGTGCATGGTTGCTTTGGGTCTTTGGCCTCTCTGGTCAGCATGCACTCGGCCGAGCTGTAGATGGAGTTGGGCGATGGTGACAAGGCCTACCTGCTGGGTCGTGTGCTGGCACCGCAAGGTGCGTGGTCTCCCCGGATCTTCAGCTTCTCTGGCTGGGCGCCTCTTTCCTTTGTTTTCTTTCTTTCCTTCTTTTTTATATGTATTTTCAATTGCTCCAGAATTACTTATTTATTTATGATAAATGAATCTCATTACTAGAAGAAACAAAAGAATGAGTATTTATCAGATATAACGTTTATATCATTTTTTTTCTCCACTAAATATTATTACTAATGAGGAAACTGAACTAGGAAGGTTTACTCAAAGCTAGGTAACAAAAGAACTAGATTAGAAACAGCCCTCCTAATTTCAGTCTTAATTTGCCACATTAAAGAGCCTGTCAAGTCAAATAAGTTCAAGAAAACAGGAGAGACAGTAAATTATTGTCCTGATTTTTGTGAGCAGGTGGACGAGGAAGAGAAAGAAGAGGAGAAATCAAGTTTAAATAGCAATACTTTAAGAAATACTCTGTCAAAAAAAATGGTTTACATATAGTTATCCAGTTGCTTGTTTCTTTCCTTCAGTGAATGCTCTCTCAAGATGGAATTTGCCTAATTGTAAATTAACGAGAATCAGGACTCTTTGCTTGTACAGTCTATCTGACTAATAAGATTCAATAAGTTTCAGTACTGTCATTCAAATCAGAAAATGACACAAATGGGCCTTATTTAAAGTATCATATTATTTCTTATTTTTAAAATTCCCCAAGTGATTCATGTGAAAATTTATAGAGTCAAAGGTACATAGTTTCTGTGCTAAAGTCTCACTGTTATTCATTCTGGTTTTTGGATCAGTATAGGCACTAGATACTTATGTTACAAAAAAAAAATGGTATTTACAACATCACTTTCAGTGTGTTAAGAGAAGATGTGCAAATATTTTTACTCTAAACATTACATTAGAATTTCTTCAGAAGAAGAGGTGCATTTTGAGGGCATTTCTTATGAGGACATGCCTTTTTTTTTTTTTTTTTTTTTTTTTTTTCTTTTTCTCCTAGGGTCCACGAGGTTTGCTGGGACCTAGGGGAACTCCAGGACCTCCAGGGCAGCCTGTATGTATTGCTGGTAACATTCAGAATTACCTAGGGAAAGCTTTTTTCCAAACTCTTTAAAGCTGCTTTTTTTTTTTTTTTTTTTTTTCTTTTTCTCCTAGGGTCCACGAGGTTTGCTGGGACCTAGGGGAACTCCAGGACCTCCAGGGCAGCCTGTATGTATTGCTGGTAACATTCAGAATTACCTAGGGAAAGCTTTTTTCCAAACTCTTTAAAGCTGGGAGGCCATGAAAAGTTTTCAGTAGACAGCCAAGAGTTTACTGCCTTGTTATATTCTAACAATATTGATGCCGCCTATCTGTTTAACTGATAATTCCCTCCCCACTTCTTTCTTTTTTCTTTCTTTCAGTTTATCTTTCTTATTGTTTCATGATAAGTCCCCAGCACCCAGTGGAAAATGCTACTAGATTGTCCCAATGTGGACATGGATAGGAGAAAATATGCCTTTTTTCCTTATTTCCATTAAATCCTAAAATGGTTTTTAGTCACCTTAGGCTAGTGAATGTCATGCTATTAGATCAGTCTTTTTGATTTTCTGTTTTAGCATATAAACTCATAAACAATCATACTTATATTTTTTTCTTCATTGAAGGGTATCGCAGGTGTAGATGGCCCACCAGGACCAAAAGGGAACATGGTATGTAGCAGATATCCATAAAATAACTCATCTGCAATCTGAATACTAAAAACATTTCTGTTGGTAAATAAAAAATAAAGATTTCTTACAATATTTTTGCTAAGTACATTAGCTACTACTAGCATTAATATTTTGCAATATTTTCCAGATTCTCTTGTGGGAAACCTTGTTTGGGGACTATTTTCCAATTGAGAAGAAAAAAAAACCTGTTATGCGAAATAGCCCTGTTAAAGACTCTTTATATTTTCTTATGGCAGGGTCCCCAAGGGGAGCCTGGACCACCAGGTCAGCAAGGGAACCCAGGACCTCAAGTAAGTCTAAGCTATTGCAGCTCCTTTGAGATAATGGGGCAAGATGGTATCTTTTCAGAAGAAAATTGACACCCTCAAAAATTTTTATGGAGGCTAAAAATGTTTAAAATGTGATAGTGGGAATATGTCTTTATTTTTCTTTTTTCTTTTTTTTTTTAACTTGAGCAAACTTGTAGAGGCTTCTTTCTTCCAAGAAAAAAACGAGTCATTCAGCTTTCACGGAACGCCAGGACGAATACTCACACCTGCAAGAGGGTTCTGAATAGGATCACATTACAGTCCTTTTTCAAAAAGAGCAGCTTGTGTAAAACTTCTCATAGTGTTCCAAAATTCTACAGGGAGTGCTGGGGTTATATATGTAGTTTCTTATAACTCATTTCAGATGCAGTAGAGGGCTAATAATTTATTATTTTAAAAGTTTATTCTTGTGATGTGATTCCTGACCTATGAAATAAATTGTTTTTAAAATAGGGTCTTCCTGGTCCACAAGGTTCAATTGGTCCTCCTGGTGAAAAAGTAAGTTACTCAGTTGTTCTGGCAATGTCATGTGAACAAGCTTAGGTTTACAACTTTAGGCAAGTGTAAGGCCTGCCTTCTGATTTTGTTAAGATATCTAGATGGCTCAGCACATAAGGAATTAATATGGTTTTAAACCATGAGAGTACAGTGTGGAGAGAATTCATTCATACATCGTTAAACGATGAATGATAAAATTTCACAGTTATCATTTGGATAGCTTCCTAATGTGACATTCTCAGCTATATTAATTTCAAAAATGGTATGAGTGAATGTTTTCTCATTATTTTGGTTCTCCTCTTCTTTCTCATTATTTAAAAAATGTAATTAGATTTGCTTGCAACAAAGGGTTTGTAGCAAGGTCTGATTAAGGGAAAATTGTGAAGCTGTCCTTGCCGCCATTTCTCATGTATAAATGGCAATGCTGCTCTTGTTAATAACTCAATGTCTGGAGCAAAACAATAATAAATCTTTAATTAAGGATACATATTTTTCCCTGATCTTCTTTGCCAGATTCTTTAAGTAATATTTCCTGTCCTTTGTAGTTATAGCACAATCATTAGCTGGCTTTTCCTAACACCTTTTTAAAAAATTTTTTTGTTGTTAATTTCTATGAACATATCAATTTTTAAAAAAACTGAACGGCATTATTGAGGTGTAATTTACATGTCATAAAAATTGACTTATTTTAATTGTACAAATCAATGAATTTTAGTAAATTTACAGAATTGTGTCACAATCTAATTTTTAGAATATTTATACCACTCCAGAAAGAACCCTTGTGCAAATTTGCAGTCCCTGTTTTCTACTCCTAAACCTAGACAATATAACTAATCTGATTTCTGTCTCTATAGGTTTGTCTTTTCTGAATATATTATACAAATAAAATATATGAATTAATTTAATATATGGATTTATCCATATAAATGAAAATAATATGTAATCTTTATGCCTGGCATCTTTCATTTAGCATGTTTTTGAGGTTTATCTATGTTGTAACATATATCAGTACTTTCCTCCTTGATATAGCCTAAATAAAACACATGTATAGTATAAGATTTTAATTTGATTAGAACATCATCTTACAGTGCAAGAGTTTTAATATTTCTTGTCTACCCTCAAATATATAGCAACACAAAAAAAATCATGTAGATTGTCCACATGGTCATTTTCATAGAAATATTACATCTGCTGATAAGAATTATTAATTGAATAGTTCTGTGTTTGAGCACTACATTGTGTTTTGAAGAAATAAGACTGTTGTCTTGAGAGCAAAAGATAATTTAAGTCACAAGCAAAATGGTGTGATTAAAAACTTAGTGTTTTGTAATAACTGTTATATAATGTTAAATTGCTTGACTTAATATGACTTTGCAGATTGGTGAAGGGAATTGAAATTTTTAAATCACTTAAATGAAAAGTAATTAATTCCAGTTATAAAATGCAAATTGTTCAATTTAAAGGTTACCTTTAATAGTTTTTTGTTCCATAATGATTTAATTGAGGCTTTCTTGGAAAACTGTAATATCAGTCTACATGAATACAGCTCTTATGCTAAATACTCTCTGAGAATGGAAAAACCCTAAACTCTGTCCAGCATTTAGGCTTCTAATATAACCTTACCCTTTCGGTTGTTTCTAAATCCTAGCTAATAACTTGACTTGGCTTGATAAAGTTAACGTTTCCAGCAGTGCACCTACTTTTCCCTCGAGAGAGGGTCTCCTTCTTGCATTGGTGATTCTTACCATGTTCCAAAATTAGCAGTGGTCAACTTAAATTAGCTTTGAAACTCTCCGTGGTTAAACAGGATTTAGAGTGATCTGTTGAATAGTTTCATTGTTCTTATTTGTTAGTTGCATGTTAAGATATGCTCTTTTCAGATGAAAATAGATTTACTTTTCTCCATTTTCTGTGAAAAATTATTACACTCTAACATATATTTCTGAAAATATTTTAATAATTTCTGTTGTTTCATCAATTTTTACTGCATAATTATTTGAACTGGCACTTATTAATATTATTGATAGATATATTCCATATTTACTTATTCAATGATATAAATCAATGTATTTCTGACCTATATTGTTTTCCTTTTTATTCTCTAAGCTCCAGTTTGTAGTGGTATGCAAAAACTAACTTGTTAATTTAAAAAGAACACATTCAGGACTACTAAGCAGTCTAAACGCTTGCCTGACAAGCTAAATTTGGTTTTAATTTATCTTTACATACCATTTCTTCCACATAATACATCAAAAAGTTATTTAAATATTTATTACTTATAAATAGAAGCCAGTGACTCAAGTTAAGAATATTATTAGTAGTATATTCCCACATACAAGACAGAGCTTTGTATTATTTTCATGTTTTTAACTGAAATATTCTCTTTCTTTGCTTGATAAGGGACCACAAGGAAAACCAGGGCTTGCTGGACTTTCTGGCGCTGATGGGCCTCCTGTAAGTAACAGCTGCCTGGTCATTAAATTTCTACATATTATTTTTAAAAATAGATTTTACATGTATTTTAGGAATGATTATATGAAGTCAGTAATAAAACTAAATTGAGTCAGTAATTAAACATGGTCTCTCTAAAACTCCATTTCATCATGTCACTTCCATATTGCAAAACCTTTAATGAGCTTACAGTTGCCTTTCCATAAACTCATTCCGCAGTAGGCCAGAACCTCCCCAGAATCCTTTATTTTCCTACTTCCTCATGACCATTAGCTCCACATAAACAGGTCCACTCCTATTTTCTCAGCATGCTTTAAATTATCTATCGCTATGTCTTTCCTTATGCACATTTCTTTTCATAGAAAGTCCTTCTCCACCTGCTCCTCTTTTTCAAAGTACATGTTTCTGAGCCCCTGTGAAATTCCTCACCATTCATAAATCTCCTCAGACAGCCCATGAAAACTATTCAACCTTCAGGGATTTCCTCTTTCTCTGGAAATATAGCGATATATATTATTTTTCTTCATATGATAGTAAATAATGTAATTATGTAACCTCCATAGTTGTTATTTTTTAAAAACTGTTTTTTATGCATTTTTTCCTCTTCAAACTACTAACTCAGATTTTTGAGAGCTTGGATACAAGATTTCTGATCTTGCCTCTAATTGTTGTGGAGGATAATTGTGATATAGCTGTACATTTTTATTTACTGAATCTCAATAACTTGATTATAAAACTATTATTATTTATGATCCTGCTATATTTTCAGATGTACCATCCACATGCCTTAGTTGCCTTTTGAAGGTCCATGCATTATCATTTGATCAATATGCAAAATATAAGGAAGATTTAAATGTGTTTATGTAAGACTCCAATTGAAACTGGAATCAAATTGTTAATGAACAATATGTATTGTATGTGCTTTTCCAAGCTCTCTCAAATGCATTATGTATTTGATGAAACTTACATCCACCAAATATAAGTTTATTATGTTTACTTCCAAATGCCACAGTTATCTAAAGGCATATACTGATGCGAAAATGCCACAATTTCCAATGTTACTTAAAGGCATGTACACTGATGCAGATATATTCAATATTTTTTGAAACATTGAGTAAGATCTCAATCAATTTGTAAACAAAAGAAACAATTTCATAGTATTATCAACTGACATTAATATTGCATCTTATCAATATATATTTTTGCTAAATATAGGGTCACCCTGGAAAAGAAGGCCAGTCTGGAGAAAAGGGTGCTCTGGTGGGTTCCAAAATATTCATTTAATTGTCTTTTCAACTTAATTTGAGAAAATGCCTTAATTTGGTCATCTCTATAATATTTATATTCTTCTATGATCACTTGGAGATATGAGTATTAGAAATAGGTACTAGAGGGGCCGGCCCGGTGGCGCACTGGAGAGTGCGCTGCTTGGGAGTGCAGCGGCACTCCCGTCGAGGGTTCGGATCTCATGTGGAGACCGGTTCCGCTCACTGGCTGAGCGTGGTGCGGGCACGACACCAAGGGTTGCGATCCCGTTACTGGTCAGTAAAAAAGACAAAAAAAAGGAAAAAAAAAAAAAGAAATAGGTACTAGAAAATATTTCATCTCTTTCTGTAACTATGTCCTTACTTTCTAAAGAATTTTTTTTTTAACATTTAAATATAAATTCTGTTCCTATAGTTATTTTTGGTGTAATAAACAGGTGTGCCTTATATAGATAACTTTTAATTTTGTATTGGCAATTTTGTAAATTAGACTGTGTCCTATATTTTAAAAAAATATTCTCATGGTCAGGTCCACCTTCTGCATATGTATTTTATGTGGAATAAATGATCATAAATTATAGCAATGAAATTGACAAGAATTACTGAATATCATTAAACTGCTTATGTAACCCTAATTTTAGATTTACTTATTACTTTCTGGTAATCTTTAGCTAAGAGGATATTAAATTTTAAGAGCAATAGTTGTTAAAATATCTAAGTGAACTACCGTAATAGAAGCTTATTCAATATTAGTACTACATTGGATTACAGTAGCAGGGGTAGGATCATCCTTTGTTTAGAGTTACTAGTTTTGGATTCCTTTAAAATAGCATTAAAAGTCTCAGCATTACTATGGAAATTGTAAATTATGTTTTATATAATGTTTCCTTTAGGTAGACTACAGAAATGAAATTGTGGTGGAAAATATATAATTTTGATCATATTCTTGATGATGTGAATGCTACAAATTTATACTAATTTTTTATTGGAAATTATTGATCCTGTTGGTTAATCTATATTGTAGACATTGAACACAGATTTTTTTCAGGTTAAAAAATTAGTTATTAATTACCTATTTATTACATTATTTTACATACTTACAATATTTGCCTTAGTAGCCTATTTCGGTGTCTTATTTTGAGCATGAATATAAAATATGGTGACTTTGGAGTGGGTAGTGCTAGTATCTGACTCTAGAAACAAAGTATAAACTATTTAAGAAAAGTTTACCAAAAAATATTAGAAAAAATACCATATTTTTATAGATTAGTTGGTAGTTTATAGTGAGTGAATGAATAGCATCTTCAATGTATTGTACATTTAAGTTGCAATGAATCTTTTTCAGGGTCCTCCTGGTCCACAGGGTCCTATTGGTTACCCTGGTCCCCGAGGAGTAAAGGTAATTGTTAAATTGTTTTCACATTATTTACTTTCAATGTGCAATGTTATAGTCTCTCAATACTTCTAATTTATTCCATAGGGAGCAGATGGTGTCAGAGGTCTCAAGGGATCTAAAGGTGAAAAGGTAACATCATCATTTAGCTGATTTTATTTTTTGTATCTATTATGTCAAAATTTAAACTTATACAACCACAAATTTATTTCTCAAATAAGGAGTGATTACATACATACCACACAATGCTAGTCTAATTTTGTACCCTCTATCCTGGAAACTTTTTAAAAAATAATGTCTTGTATGTTTACATGAGGGCTAAATTTTAAAACAGAAGCAAAAGTATGTCATAAAAATAGTTCTGCATCCCTTTTTATCTTACATGTGTTTAACTTTTGTAAATCATAAAATTGGCCTTATGAATGGATTTGCTGCATGGTTTGGACAATGTCCAGTGAGATGCATAACAAAGCAATATTTATTTCTTTTTTCTCTATTGAAATCTGCAAAATTAGTAAATGGAAATGCAGTGCAAAACATGAAAGTTAGAAGTGCCCTAAATCAATTGAGAAACAAGTCTTCCTATGTGATACTACATGCAAAGCACATCTAGTAATAACAAGGAGATAAAATTATACTGGGAAGAAGTAAATGAAAGAATCTATCTAAGACTATGAATGAACATGGCATCTTTTATATCACATTTATTGTTTAATTGGCTTTGGCTGAAGAACATAAAATTCAGATTTTTTGGTAAATATATTAGTTCATTTTCTGTTGCTTATAATGGAACACCTGAAACTGGGTAGTTTATAAGAAAACAAAGTTCACTTCTTATAGTTTTGGAGACTGGAAAATCTAAGGTCCAGGAGACACATCTAGGGAGAGCCTTATACTTGCTGGAGACTGTACAGAGTATAGTGGTGATGCAGGGTGTCATGTGGTGAGGAGGGGGAAAAGCATTTTTATGTGCTCACTTGCTCTCCTTATATAGCCACCAGAGCCATTCCCTGATAGCCCATTAATCCATTAACCCACTAATGGATTAATCCATTAATGAGGGCAGGGACCTCATGATCCAACCACTTCCTAAAGACACCACGTTTCAACACTACCACATTGGAGATCATTTTTCCACATGAGCTTTGGAGGGGACATACATTCAACCCATGTCAAGCCCCAAGTCTTTCCAAGATTATCTTGAGATGCAAAGGGAATCCCATTACTAAGAATCAGTATTGGATTCTTAATAGAAAACTACATAAAAAATGTAAAACAGCAGATAGGTTTATAGTATAAACTGTTGGTAGATTTGGTGACATATATATGGATATTAACCTTATTGTTAATATTAGTATAACAATATTGATTTCAAGGACGAACATTTATTTTCAAAATTATAATATTTTCAAAAAACCTTTGTGTACATTTGGTACCAATAAGGAATGGATTACAAGAAGGGATAGATTATTATATCCATTATAATTTATTTATCTGAAAAAAAACTACTGAAATACACTAAATGTATACAAATATACTATCAGTTTTACTGTATGAAAAATGTCATGCATTTTGTATTAATGCAGCTAAATCATGATAGTCCCAATTCATTGTGATCATCACAGATGAACTTGACAGTGTAGTGCTTTCCTGTTTTGACAGCTGAGCATGGTGATGGTTCAGGCAGTATTGAACTTGTAATTATTTGTAGGTTGCCTATGCTAAAACCTACTGTCTCACTTTAGAATTTTTCTTATTAAAGCATTTAAGTATAAATTCAATTTTCTTCTCTGGAATTTGCACTCAGAAAGGATTTTTGGGGGGACAGAAACAATTGTTTAAAAGAAAGGTATTTAATTGGGGTGGGGATGTCGTGAGCTTCCTAGAAGAGGAGATAGTTGTAGAGTGGTAGAGGTACATAAAATGATAGATGATGAGAAATATGTGAGAAGAAACATCCACAGGAAAAAAAATATATTGCTTTTATTTAGAAAATATCTTGAGATTATTGGTTGCTTTGAGTGGTGTTTGGTCTCACAAACAACAAATATAGAGAGAAAAATAACTAAAATTTTAAATTGGGAGTCAAAAGCTCTAGGTTCTCATTCTAGTTCTCACACTAACTAGATGTGTAAATTGAGAGATTACTTTCTCTGAGACTCATTTTAAGTCTGTAAAATAATGAGGAGATTGTCCTTTTAAAAAAATCTCAATGGTATTTTTTAGCTATATCTTTTATTCTATCCAGTATACCAATCAGTAGTAAATTATGTCTCCTGATTTAGAGAAATTCTGTATAAATGTTAATGGAATATTTTGTAATGGTAAGAATCCTCCCTATTTTCAAACTCTGTGAGTTTGAGGATCAATAAGTTGGTGAAATTTTAATATACATTATTTATTTTGGTTTTCTGAGTATGCAGGGTAATAGACCACTTACCCCATGTAAGATAAAGAAGGAAGCTGACCTTTTTCCTTTATATATAATTATCTAAAGGTGAAATGGCAAGTGGACACCCAAACTATGATTAAAATTCTCCATTTTTTAGACTCAGATTTATCCCTTCAACCTCAAGCAACACAGTCCAATAAAACAAGTGGAATAGGTGAATTCCTCCTGTACATGTCTTCTAAGACTATGTTTCTTTTTTTCTTACATTTCCTTCAGATTTTATCATTTTAGTACTGGAAATCTCAATAACTTGATATGTCACTTGTTAAAAAGTGACATTTATCATTAAATATCTTTCCTGACTTCAAATATGGTGAAAACAAAGACATGACAGAAATAGTGTCCCATCTGCTGAGTTTTCGCTTTAAAAAATACACAAATAAATACATCTTTGCCTGCAATTGTATAAACTGTTAGTGATCTTTCGACATAGCGTGGAACATTCTTTAAACTAAACTTGGCAACTGTGTAATTACCTTTCTCTCTAGGGAGAAGGTAATGAAGGTAAAAGTCAATAGGAAGTTAACTGGTCATTTTCAGCGTTTAAGCCTCTGCCATTGCCCAACTGTATTGAGTACAGAGAGAATCCTGCTCCTGACAAGGTCACTTTACAACCAAAATGTTGAAAACGTGTGTTCTTTTCTCTTGAAGAAAAATTCTAGGCCTGTCAGAATTCTTTGGGTTAGATAAGGTACAGTTTGGATCTTTTTTACCATGTTTAGGTCTATGTATCCATACTTACCTGGTATTTGGCATTATCTGGACTTTAAAATAACCTTGCAAAACTCACCTGAGGCATTTAGCAGAGTTTGTTGAGCATCATGGTTGTTGAAGGTCAAACCCGTATTAGGCACTGTAGACTCAGAGGTTAATGAGGCATGAGTCTTGTCTTCCACCATTTACTGGAAAGCATCTTCTGATCCCCTGAGTGCAGGGTGACATTCTGTTGCAATATTGAATGTTCACTGGAGGCGCACAGAATTGAGACATTCAGTTTAGGAGGAAAAGATTGATGTCAGGGAAAACTTCATAGCAGAATCATGAACTGAGTCTTGAAAGAAGGATAAAGTTTCACCAGATGGACAGAGAGGGGAAGGGATATGCAAGTGTGTAACAAATGAAAATATAAGTAATGCAGTTTTTCTAGAACTCAACCCTAGGGTCTTGGGTGGGAATGGGTGGGAGATTCAAGAAAAAAGAGTAAAGAGGTGGACAAGAGCTAGATCATGGGAAGAGGGGATAAGGAGGTGGTTTATATTCATCATTAGCAATTTAGAACCATTGAGGTATTCTAAACTGATGTGATCAGTTTTGTGTTTTAGTGAGGTCATTTTGGCAGCAAGACGTGGAGGTGTATATGCCTGTCCTTCCTAGCTCTGTTTTCATACCAGGCCTGAAATGTTCTTTTCTCAAATTCTGCAAGTTGTATCCACTTCCCAGTACCAACTGAAATACCAAATCCCCCATCAAACCTTCTCCTGTTCACTTCTTGCCTTATCAGCACCACCACCATCATCATCAACATCTTGCCTTTCTTTTCTTAAGATCCATTCTACTTAACCTGTACCAAAAATACCGCAAATGTACTGCTTTTTATCGGTAAAACAAAAACCTCGAAATACTTCACAGTACTTCAGAGTACTCGATTAATGTTATTCAATACATGAATGATTATTTCTCAGGATTTTTTTAAATTAAGAGATAGAAAGGTTATTCTTGAAGCCAGATTAGAAATTCATATTTCAGTAAAAGTACTACGAAATCCATAGCCAAAATTTCTCCTCTCTTTATAAATGGATGCCCAGTTTTCAGCAGCTCTCCTCTGTGCGTGCAGTATCACAATGAGCAATTTCTGCATGTAAAGAATATTATTAATTTTTCTTTTTTTTATAATTAATTTAAACAACATGTTGATCTAGAAGACATTTACCTAAAACAAAAGGTATACATTATTAAATTAAGGGTAAAATATTTTTTATTTGGTAGTTCAAAATTATTGTAATTAAAAGTTAAAATGATTATTATTTAAATACTTCCAATTTTATGTGTAAATAGCATAGGATACATGCTTTAAGAGAATGGTTATTTCTTCCATTAGATAAAGAACATTTAGCAAACATACTTGAGAAAAAATGTTAGAGTAAATTTATAATTTTAGAGTAATAATTGTGGAAAAATGAGAGAATGGCAGGGATAAGGCTGTGTGGTCAGAGCTGGAATAAAGGGGAGGATGTTTTACAACTAAAATTCACACTTTTCCAAAACAACTTTCCTTAATTATAAGCACCCACTTTACACAAGGGTACTGCAAAAAGTTTGCGGAAAAATAGAATTGAATGATAATACAAATCTTTCCATGAAATTTTTGTAGTAGCCTCGGTTAGCCATATTTTAGATTCTTCCAAATGACTTATTAAACTCCTGTTTTATTTTTTGCATTTTTAAGGGTGAAGATGGTTTTCCAGGATTCAAAGGTGACATGGGTCTGAAAGGTGACAGAGTAAGTAAAGAGAAAATTTGCACTAGTATATAAGATTATGTATATACATACATTTTGCTTACCTTTAAGTATAGAAAGCACAGGATAAATAAAATGTTTGTACTACCTGAGACTTCCCTCATTTATGTTTTTATATAAGGATTAGGCATTTTAATTTATGTGGAGATAGTGTATTATAAATTGTCTTTTAGATGTTATATTACCATATGTTCTATAACAAACGTGCTCTCCCTCTCTCTCCCTCCCTCTCTCTCTCTCTCTGTCTCTCTCTCTCTCTCTCTCTCACACACACAAACACACACACACACACACACACACACACACACCACACACAAAATTTAGGAGATTATGATCCAAAGAAGTAATTTGATAAGTGTGTTTTAAATTTTGTTTATACACAGTGATCTGTGGTGCCTGGAAACTGTCTTCAAATTTTATGAATTTTCATTATATAGTGATCTTGAATTTTTGAGTGTGAAAATAATATTTTTTTCTGGTAATGAGTTTTTTTTTTTTTTTTTTTCTTTTTGTCTTTTTCCGTGTCCGGCAACGGATCGCAACCCTCAGTGTTGCCCCCACACCGGACCGGGGACCGGCAACGGGATCGCAACCCTCGGGGTCGCTCCCGCGCCTCGCTCAGCCAGCGAGCGGGAACCGGTCTGCATGTGGGATCCGAACCCTCAGGCAGGAGCGCCGCCGCGCTTCCCAAGCGGAGCACTTATCCAGTGCGCCACCGGGCCGGCCTAATGAGTTTTAAGAAAAAAAAATACTGAGTCACCTAAAGCAAATTAAATGCTTTATTCTTTATTGGGAAGGTTTATTTTGAATGTAATGGTACCTAACATGTCTGAGCAAAGAAGCATGCGGTAGAGCACCGTTGTTTCCCTAACATTCACATGAAGCTTGCATCCAGGCTGAGAGGCAATAACTTCCGTATCTCGGTTCCTAACACCTAAAAGATCAAAACCAAGTGCAAAATGGAGACATTTTTCTTGTGTTCCAAACAGTCATTTCTAAACTTGCTAAGTAATCTTTTTTTTTTCTCTTTCTCTACAACACAGATGTTTAAAAAGTAATTTAATGTCATTTAATGTGGTAGCATCGGGCTTCTCTATAGGTATTCAAATATGACACCATATTCAGTGGTTTATTCAGCAATGGAAAGACTGATAAAGTCAAACACTTTCAAGCCTCTTTGTCATAAACAATGCACGAGTAAACAAGAGTTGAAGAATCTGACTTTCTGATAGACTGATCTCTGCTTTTCAATGTCCAATTATCTTTTAAGTTACAAAAATGTTGTTATTCTGTATTTCAGGGAGAAGTTGGTCAAATAGGCCCAAGAGGAGAAGATGGACCTGAAGGCCCCAAAGGTCGAGCAGGCCCAACTGGGGACCCAGGTCCTTCTGGCCAAGCAGGAGAAAAGGTTAATAAACCACTTTAAATCCAAAGGTCCTCTTGCAAATGATGCTTCGTTGTCATTTTAAAATACTTTTAATCATTGGTGTCAGAAATATAGAGGATTCCATTAAATTTCTATTAAATACTACTAAGAGGTAAAACCGTGAGATAGACACATTTATCTTTTCTCACTCATCTTTATTTTCCTGCCCCCTCTGCTCTCCTTAGCCATGCAGGGTCAGCCACTCTTAAAGCTCTTCCACGTGAGTTGTTGAGAATTAGACCGTAACTGAAGGATGAAAGAATCAATGAAAGATGGTCTGTATATGGTTTTGGACCAAGCAGTATCATCTTTGCCCCGAAAAACAAAATGTACATTTTCATTTTTCCACTCTTAACATGTATTTTCATAGGATGAGTATTTTAAAAAATACTGATGTTCATGTCCAACCTCAAGAGATTTTTAAAACATCCCCCGATAACTTTAACAATCATTGGTTTGAGAGACACTGGGCTAAACATATTATGTCAAATATTTGCAATATTTACATTTAAATATAATATTATGCAATATTAAAATTATGTCTTTGTAGACTATTTAGTGTTATGGCAAACTTTTTATAATGTCTGGCGAAGTTAAGTTTAAAATAAAAACTGGAAATGTCTATGGCAAGGGTCATCCCATTATGTACGCTAAAGCAAACTATAAATAATTATTATCTCTGGGTGATATACCTTGAATGGTTTTCGTTTTTTATAGATGTATGTCTACATTTTCTGCAATGAGTGTGCTATTCTATTAATTAAAAAAATTCTATGCTATTTAAGAAAGTTATAGTACAGAAGGAAAGGAGGATAAATTATATAGGTATTATATACAGATTGTGAATAGACAAAAAAAAAAACGTTTCCTCTGTCATTATGAAATATCTCATGTGCCCATTATACCGTTTCACACATTGAACCTTCCATAGTTTCACACTTAGAAAAAAGTTGCCATTTATTAATTGATGCACAGTGTCATAGTGTTCAGGCAGCAGAAGGAAAGATTGGGTCAAAACAAGGACTGTAAAGGCCTTTAGACCCTTCCTCTGAAAGTGCTCCATTCCCAGTAGTTTAATGTTATTCTTGGAACTTCCTTTTTCTTAGCTCCACTGTATTAGGTGTAAATGGCCCCACAAACTGTTTTGAGGCATCAGAAGTTTGCTTCTCCCTCTTCTTTACATTTCATTACTATTTGTCCTTTTGTTGAAGTTGCTTATCACCGTATTGAAAATATAGACAAATTTTATGTCTGGGTTTATTTTAAAATGACTCTGAAATGAATGAGTTTACATTCTAATGTAGTAATTAACACAGAAAACAAATAGCTTTGTGATCATGATTAAAGAATTTCATTAACTTTGAAATCAATGGTATTAAACAAGCTCTGATAAGTTAATGTACCCAAGGGGACATCACTATAAGTATGCTTCTTGGGGTTTGTTTGCATGTTTTCCATCGGAAGCCTATTTATCTATGCAGTGTTGATCATGGCTTAGACAACTCATGGTTCAATCTGTAATCACAAGGATATAAACTATGTTCTCACCTTTTTGCTTAGCTTCATCCAGGAAAGTATTTATTTTTGTTCATACAGTTCTGCTTATCTTTTAACAGCATGTGTACTAATTTGGACTTGTGTTTCTTTCTATTCTTAACAAACACAAGTCCAAATTATTTAATTGTACATTGGAAATAATAATACTTTACACTTAATAATTTTTAAGACTTTTATAAATAATATTTACTATATGAAGTGTGCTTCTACAGGTATCTTATTAAGGAAAATGTCTTACAGTTAAATTTTACAAAAATATTTTTTTCAATTCATTTACTTTAATTTATTTATCTCTCTACCTGCGTTTTCTTATTAATGCTTTGTGAGAAAGAAATTTCAGAGGGATTATTTTGTTATTATAACTTTTTAAACCTCTTAGCATTTGTTACCCATTGTTGAACTTGATTATAACTTACAATTTGTTTTAAGCACTTTCATATTAGGAGGTAACCTGATTGCACTGAAACAAAATAGTTGCATATTGAAGTAGCTACCTGCTTGAATTAACATTCCACAAAAATCATCATTATTCGCTATAGCTCTCAACCTATAGTATATTTATTAGCTCATAGATACCTAGATATTTTAATAAAAGAAAAAATTTTGCTCAAAGTTTTGTTTAGAATTTCTTCTGAACTAATGTATAGTTATTTAAACTTTGCTTACTCAGTGAAAGAAAGTTAAATGATTCATGATGCCTTGCTTTATATTTACACTGTGAGAAATGAAATAACTTTATTAAAAAAATTACTCTAGTTAGTGTGATAAAACGTAGTTCCATTGACATCGACTAACTTAAAATAGTGTTTAATGTAGTAGAAGCTTAGGAGCTGTTTGAGTAATGCTTTATAGTTCACAAGGGGGTGTAGAGTTCTCTTTAGCACGGGATTCTATGTCCCCAAAGAAGGTAAGATGACTTACACAACAGAGATTTTTCGGCAACATCATAGGATTAGAAATATGTCTGAAGCAAAAATTTCCTTATTCACACGAAGAAATACAAGGGTACTTCAAAAAGTTTGTAGAAAAATAGAATTAAAAGGTAATATGAATATTTTCATGAACTTTTTGAAGTACACTCATATAACAAAAGTAAAGTATGGTTAAAAACTGGTAAATCTTCCCTTCGAGTGTATAAATATGTGGTTCTAATATCTAGAAAAATGATTAACATTGTTATTCAAACAATTCAACTTAGAATATTTATTTATTTTATTTTTAACTTTAGGGGAAACTTGGAGTTCCAGGATTACCAGGATATCCAGGAAGACAAGGTCCAAAGGTAAAACAATTAGCTTGATTTTTTTTACAACATTTTGCAAAAATGCTCAAAATTAATTACCTATGGTTACCTTACAGTCTGTAACATAGAAATGATGCTTCCTTAAAATATGGTTTCAGAAGGAAAAATCATAGAGTGTGTGAGCACCTGGAGTGCAGGGAGCTCAGAGAGCCTACGTGATTACAGATTGGAATATTTTAATAGACAAGCTCATTAAAGGAAGGCATAGTTGGTACTTCCTAGTAATTGGAATAAAGACTTTCCAGGGAAGACCACTAGTATATTTAGAAGTTATAAAGTGGATGACATGTGATAGATAATAGCTTTTGATTTCAACTCTATTACTCTAAGGGTTTAAATTACCACTTAATATTTTTAAAGAAAGAAATTTTATTATATCTTTCACCCTCTCTATTGACCCTCATTTCCTTGAGTATTTGTTTCTCAGGACTGCTGTAACAAATCTCCATAAACTTGGTAACTTAAAATAATGGAAATTTACTCTCTCACAGTTCTGGAGTCCAGAAGCTCAAAATCAAGGTATCTGCAGGGCCACACCCCCCCCAAAGAATCTAGGAAAGAATCTGTCCTTGCCTCTTCCAGCTTCTGGTAGCCCCAGGCGATCCTTGGCTTGTGGCTGCGTAACTGTAATCTCTGTCCCCTCTCTCACGATGCCTTTTCTTTCCTGTGTGTCTGTGTTTTCTCCTCCTCTGTCTCTTATAAGGACACTTTTCATTGGATCTGGGAACCACCTGGGTAATCCAGGATGATCTTATTAATCAAAGTCCTTAATTTAATTACATTTGGGAAGACTTTTTTCCCAAATAAGTTAACATAGAGATGGTTCACAGGTTTCAGAGAATTGGACAGGGATATATCTTTTGGGGGTGGGCACCGTTTCACCCATTATAGTACTCAAATTTCTTTGAAATGTACATACTTTAAGTTTAAAAAATGATTTTAAAAATGCATGTTTACCTCGGTTAACATGAATTTTTCTCAAGCTAATCATAAGACTTCGTTAAGGCTGCACTTAAGGCACTGACAAGTTACAGTAAGGTGTTTAAATGAATTAAAATATAAATGCTGATTATTAATATTCTAGTAATTATACCATTCTTTTAATTATATACGTACATGAGACTATCTGTATCAATCTAGCTACCTGTCTACCAGTTTGACTCATTCATTCATAACAGGTATAGTAGATAAGGCAAATCCTGGCCATATAATATACTCAAACATATTAATAAATATATGTTTTGCAGATAATCGGTGGCAGACAAAAATGTGCTTCCCCCTAACAAATATGAACTTCATGCGCTTATGTTCACACACGGTTACATGATGATACTTTCATGCTTGCCGTATAGTTTTGTCTTATATTTCATTGAGTTTCCAGGAAACATTTATTTCCTTGGTTAGTAAGAGGCAAATATAGTGCTTCAAGTCCTTCTATGATAAGATCCATGCCATCTATGATTTAAAAATAATACAAGCATTGTATAATTGTTTTTGGTTACATTCAGAACACTGATTAATAATTTTTACCTTTTAAATATTGTCCCTAATATTCTGCTCTGTCACGCAGTTATCTTCCTTTCAAATGTTAAGATTTTCACAAATATGAATAAAATAAGCCATTCACTGTATAACATCAGACCTTAAGCTATCCTTCTTAGGTTACCTTATGAGTTCTCGATGTATTTATTAAGTTGAATTGCAATTGTATTGTGTTTTATTTTGATTTAAAAACACAGAAAACTGTCATAATATTAATTGACTAAGCACATTTTTATTTTATGAATTTATTTGAAATTCTGATAATTTTCTCTTTTTCCTAAGACAATCCTCTGATCAGCATTCTTTCAATTCTTTTTATTAACAAAATGCAACAGAATGACCAAAGAGAAGTGTTTCTTTCAAGAGGAATCAAATATTTTTCTTTACCCTTTAACCCAAATGTCTGGAATTTTGGTCTTAATTTTTTTATATTGCTTTTCTTTATAACTCATTCTTTTTCTATGATCAAAAAGCTTTTAGGTTTCTCAGTTCTAAAACAAACAAGATGGGTATATCAAAGATCAAAGGTAGCTGCACATTTTTTCCCTATGTGTAAGCTAATGAATTTTAAGTATATTTAACTCTTTATTGTACTAAAAGTAAAATGTGGCTGCTAATCTCTTTCAAGCAGCTTAAGGACTATGTAATTAGACTGTACAACTTACACAGTGTCTTAGGAGTAATGTAAACCATAATGAGTATTCAAAAGGTGCACCACCAAACGTACTACAAAAGGATAGCTCTTTCAAAAAGTAAAATGTTTTTTTAAGGTAAAATGTGCTTATATTTCAAATGGCATTTCAAATAATTTTGTAAGTTTCACATTTATTTTCTGAGCCAGTATCACCATTAATCTTTGACTTTATGGCATTTTGTTTGTTTTTCCGTATAAGAGCAGGTAATGTCTTTTCCTAGAAATTGTATATTTTGGTGATAATTCCTTATGTAGGAAAAGAAAAATAATATCCCCACATATTACAAGCTGTTTATTTGATAGATTGGACATTTCTATGCATTTTTCATTAATTTCCTAGAGCAGAAACCATGTGAGAAAATAAATTTATAAAAACAAAATTGATGCATAACAGCAATTTGTTTAAACGTACTGTCTAAAAGTAATGATTAGTTATCTATTCTAGTTGAAATAAAAATGAGTATTTGTCCCCAATAAGTTGATAAAAGTAAATTATTTCCATACTAGATTATACTCATTTGTCAAATTCCTAGAATAAATCTCATAGTAATACTCTACCAAATGTAACTTTATCTGATTCTTTGTAGAGAAAGAGAAGAGGCTTTGAAAGCCCTTCATAAGTGTAATTTGCAGAGATTTTTTTCCTCCAGTATGTGAATACTACACATCCTATCTAACAGCTGCCCTCAGGCTGATCACAAGTTAGCTTATAGGCATGAATCAGAATATACTGGGAAAACAGATCATGAAAAGAAACTTAGTAGTGCATAATTTGGGTTATTATTTTGAACAGCAGCTGGCACAGGACATCACATATAATTTTCCTGACTGGTTTTAATAGCACTTGTGGAAGAAATAAAAATTGGTAGCATTTAGCCCACCTGCTACGTATGTAAATTCACTACCTTCAAACTGGGAATAGGGCTAAATAGTTACCTCCTGCAAGTAGGTAATACTGTATACCTGGCTATTCTAATCGTATGTGTCTAAGAATACCACTTTCAGGCCTTCTCAAACATCACAGTACATGTCACCCTGAGGGGTGGTTAAAAATGCAAATTCCTGGGCCGAGCCCATGGCGCACTCAGGAGAGTGCAGCGCTGGGAGTGCAGTAGCGCTCCCGCCGCGGGTTCGGATCCTATATAGGGATGACTGGTGCGCTCACAGCGCTCACTGGCTGAGCGTGGTGCAGTCGGTCTCAAAAAGGAAAAAAAAAAAAAAAAAAAAAAAATGCAAATTCCTGGATCCCACTGCTAGAAAGCCTGTTTCAATTTCAGTAGGTTAGAATGTGACTTGAGAATTCATAGTTATAACAAAAACTCCAGATTATTCTGATATAAAGGAGCCATTTATCACTTGGAGAAACATTATTTTTAAGGGTAGTTCAATTCAATGCAAATGATTGTATTCAAAAAGGCAAGGAATGCATTTGAATCAAAGAAGGTTTCCTTACATTTCCCTTAATGCATGGGGAAGTGACTACAATTTGAATGTTTGCTACTCTTGCTAGATATTTTACACAGTATTGTATTTAATCCATGCAACTAAACAGGAAAAGTGAGTGTTTGGAAGATACTCACCTGACCCATCTTCTAGTGTCTCATAGTTAGCAAATTGAAGAGCAGGATTTGAATGCTAATTGGTCTATTTCACGATACAATGATGAGTCAAACCAACCACAGTAATGTTCAAAGTAATGTCTGAGTAGATAAAAATCTAGACATATACACAAGGTGAAATAGGGAAATTTAGTTACTGGGAATTGCAATTATTTTCTGTCTGTAAAATATGGCCTTTTGTCGACTAAATGAAATAATGCTTTTATTTTTTTATTGCATTTAAAAATAATCATTACTTATGTATGTCCTATTATTATCATTTTATGCCTGGAATTCCTTTAGTCTAATCCCCCACAAATTTCAAAGTACATGTAAGATGTATATTATTGCTGTCATTTTGCAGAATTAAAACCTATACTCAAAGAGAATATTTAGCTGATGCATAACAAACATAAATATTGAATTTATATCATTTGAATTTCAAAAACAGATTTTAATGCTTAATTTTCTGACTTAGCTTCTCAGCTAGATCTAACCACATTCAAACACCAAGTAGAAAAGGTGGAGGAAGGTTTTTAGTCTATAAGATTTGATCCAGTTATAAAATTGTAAAAATATTCATCTAAAAAGTGGTAGAATATTAATTCAGGACAAACTCTTTACAAAATCCCTTTTTTAATATTTGACCATTCATACTGTGAAAATAGGAATTTTCTTTAGAGTTGAAGCAAGTATACAGAATTATAAGTTTAAAATATATTTAATACAATGCTATTTTATAATAAGAGATATGATAATATTTGATTAATTATTTTACCTTTAAAGTTAAAAACTAAAATATTTTTTATCAATTCATGCTTTCAACGCTTCCAGGATTTCAGATGTCATTGTAAGTTCATTTTCAAATACATGAATAGATATTGTATGGTACCTTAAAACTATATTTTTGTTTTAAATATTACCGGCTGTGTCTCAAAAGAATTACAGCTTGTGGCTGAAATTGTTAATTGCTATATTCATGGTTTTTTTATTTTTATTATTGTAGGGTTCCACTGGATTTCCTGGGTTTCCAGGTGCCAATGGAGAGAAAGGTGCACGGGTATGACAGTGTTCTGAGCCATCTAATATAAACGTCCCTGCATGAGTACCCATTGCTCAGCACCAGACTGATAATTTACTGGATATACTGCATATTGAAACTCTTTGAACTGTCTTTGGCAGGGAGTAGCTGGCAAACCAGGTCCTCGGGGTCAGCGTGGTCCAACGGTGGGTGCCTTGATTTAAAATAATTGCATTTTCTGTTTTATATTTAGTTTTCCAAGGTATTTTTTTTTTAAATAAAACTTGATTCTGTGCCTTTGGATTTGCTTGGCACTAGATCAGTTTCGTCTTTTGCTCTCATATGCAGGGTCCTCGAGGCTCAAGAGGTGCAAGAGGTCCCACTGGGAAACCCGGGCCAAAGGTATTGTAAGCACTTGTTGCTGTTGTGCTTTTCTGTGAGTTCCTCTTCCACAGGGCAGATGCTGCGAGAAGGAATCAAAACTGATTTTTATTTTTTTGTTGACAGGGCACTTCAGGTGGTGACGGCCCTCCTGGCCCTCCAGGTGAAAGGGTACGTATGATACAGCCACCTAATGTAAAATGAAAATGAATATTTTTGTAAGTGTTTAAATTTTGGGGAAAAGATATATGTGTCTGCAAATACATGTGCACCTTTATCCATTAAATCTACTCTGAATTAAAAAATTATTATTCTTTTATTTACTCTCCTCCACCAATACAATCTTTATTATGTGCTACTCATTTTGTTATAGAAATGAGAGAAATAATATTTATAATTGGCTTAAGATATCACTCTTAAACACAAGCCAAGATACACTTTTCATTTTAAGTATGCTTAAAACACGTCTGCCCTCTCCTTTGTTCCTCTTCCTTTCCATGTTGATATTCATTTTGTCCATGGCGCTGGCAGCAGCATTATGCTGGTAAACAAGAGCTACCAGTAGCCATTAAGCCACAATCGATACACATTCAACTCAAGATTAAACCTCTATTCCAGTAAATAGAAAAACTATTTAGTAAATTGATTTTCAATTGATATAAAATAAAGCCAAACACAGACGAGCAAGCGTATCTTTGTTTGGCTTTTTTGGCAAAATATAGCAATTTTACAAACAGATATTTTGTAAGCTATTCACTTGCAAAAATTTTAAATATGAAGATCTGTATTACCTTCAAATAAATTATAATTATTTTTTAATATTTTATAATAGTTTTTAGAATTATGCAGTCATGTTAATATATTTTACATATTATTATTATTTGAAATTTATAGTAGGTGTTTTACAAAAAATGAAAACAGAAACACGCTGTGACGTATAACTTAAAACTGAGAATAAGTATATTTTTCAGTAGGAGCAATGAGTAAAACTTTTTCTATTAGTGACAAAAAGGTGAGTAGGTAAGACAGAAGAATAAACACTTAATTAGATTGGTTTTAAGGCTTTAGCTCATATTTGATTAAGTTAAACTTTCCACTAAATGTTTCTCACTCTTAGTGAACTATTCACAAATTAAGTCCATTCATCCTTTGCATTTTGAGTTCATAAATAATACATACATTTGAAATATTTTGTGGTCAAAGTCATTTTAATAAGAAGAGATAGTTAAATTAATCACAATGGCTGAATCATTAAGAGGAGTAGAACAATTTAACAAATTACAGCACAACTAGGAGTTTTGTCTTTTACAGCACAAACTACTTTGTCCTGATATATTTTGTTTATCCCTTCCAGGATTTCATGATCAGCAATATTTCTTTACATATGAATGCACTTTTGATGATATTGCATTTTAATTTGGAACACAATAGTGTGATCCAACAGTATGTTTACCTGCTTTGAGAGTGAGAAGAGGATCACAATAAAGAGTTTGGGTTTTGTTTTGTTTTGTTTTGTTTTGTTTTGTTTCTAAACAAGAAATATCTATTTTCAATAAACATTTATACGTGCTTTCAATATCTATATAGGGAGAACATATTTCCTGTGTTCTGTGTAGATAATGAGACTTTCCCCCTTAATATGCCTTCATTTTCTTCCAGGAATTTTTAAGTATCGTGAACTATTTAGTTTGTCTTAATCACACAGTTGAAGAATGTTAGAAATAATGCTGCAAAGTATTTTCTTCCAAATAATGAGTTGGGAAGTTCAGGGAGAGAATTATGCAGTACCATTGGATTAGAAATAAAAAATACCTATTGTTGCCCATTTCAGTGAATTCCTTCTTTAACAATATACTTATATCTAACTATATATATAGTTAGATATAAAATATTAATATATATAAACATTCATTAAAATATTCTACAAATTAAATGTGATCTCTCATAATTGTGATTTGCACATCATGGATATCTGTTATTGAAAAGTTAGTTAAGATAGCTCATAGTTGTATCTAAGGTTACCAGATTTAGGAAAAACAAAACAAAAATAAACAGAAGTAAGACATCTTGTTAAATTTGAATTTTGCATAAACAATGAGCAGTTTTTAGCATAAGTATGTCCCTTGAATTATTTAGAACATATTAAAATTATTCATTATTAATCTAAAATTCAAATTTAACTAGGTACTTGATATTTTATCTGGTGAACCTAATTGGATTCCACCACCATCTTTATTTACAATCTTTATTACACTTTATGTATTTTTTGCCTCACCTGCAAACTATTTTGATTAATACAAAGAGAACATATCAGTCATTACTGTGGAATTTTACAAAGAAAGACCCAAGTTTTTCTTCTTTATTTTCTCTGAAGTAGTGATTTTTAAAGTATTTCTTTCATAAAGGAATTTAAAATTAAGATCAAAATCAAATTTTATTTGAAAAGCAACAAAATTTTAGAAAACAAAGACATGAAATTTTAAGAAATTAGGAATATAGAGTTCTACATAATCTAAAGAAATACTGTTTTTAAGCTTTTGTATTTAAATGAATCTTTTAATAGTTTTCTTAAGTTATATGGTAAATATTTAAGAATCATGGTTTCATAATTTAATGAGAATTAAACAATTTGTAAATTACTCAGATTTGCCCAGTGGTTTTGGTAATTTCATGTTACATCTATTTTATTTTTAATACTTTTTAACAAAAGTTGGTGGAAAAGTAGAATTAAAAGATAATATTAGTCTTTCCATGAACTTATGGAAAACCCCTCATATAACTAATTTTTTTTTTTTTTTTTTTTGGTTTTAAGATGCTGGTAATAGCAAAAGCTTGTGCTGATTTCTGACCTAGCATTAGCTTAAAGGATGATAAAGAGATTTTCCCTGAAAAGGCTAGACTGACAAATTGCTAGGGTAAATTCTATTAAAGAGCAACTTCAGTAAACTTTAATTTTGATTGGAAAATAGGTAAATCCCACCCTAATTGTATTACTGAAGAAATTTTATTTGTGTTATCTTTCATTTTCAATATCTTCCTTTTAGGAATATAATTATTATGTTCTGGGCATGTGAAGGATTAACTTTTTCAATTTCTTTTTCTGCCACCAACACAGTCACTGTAGTAGGGTCTACTTTAAACATTTCAAAGATATGTAAATATGAGAGTTGGATAATATAGTTAAGTAAGCCTCAAGCCAAGAATGGTATTATAAATGTGTATTTGGGCTGAATGCTAATGAGAATAATCATACAATAAAGTTCTTTTGATCTTATCTACAAAAGAAGTTTATACATGAGTAAAATGAGATACTGGCATCTCCAAAAATATACTTTAAAAACAGAGGCCACTTAAGGCATTGTTTATGGTCTCTTTGAGGTAGTCACATATGTTCTCTTTTAGTTCTGTATGACTAGAGCCAGAATATTTATGGAGTCAGTTTTTTAAAATAATTTTTCTTTTTGGAGGGTGTGGAATTGAGTTAAATTTAAATATCTTCCTTTTCTGCAAGTTTCTAGCCATTGTTAAAAGTAAAGTAGCTGCAAAACTTCTCGATATACAAGCACTCTATTCACTTTTAATTAGAATTATAAATATATACGATGCTCCTGAGGTAAGAACACTGATGTGTTGTGCAATTTCGAGTACATTTGAATAGTGTGAAAATCATCCATTTTGCTTTTAAATTAGCACTGATTATTGCCATTGTTCTGTCACTATGCTGAAGAAGTTGAGTGCTACATTGCATCTGTAGAAATAAGCCACAATGTATAAACATGTATCTTTTAAAGCATATTGTTAAATTTTCCCCACTGCTTTTTATTTTCAGGGTCCTCAAGGACCTCAGGGTCCAGTTGGATTCCCTGGACCAAAGGGTCCTCCTGTAAGTATCATAGTTTCTGCTTCTCTTTTTTCATTTGGTAATGTTTTTAAATTTTTTAGAGTCATAGCTTACATTTTAAATAATGTTTAGATATAAATATTGATAAAAATTCTTATTAATAAAACTGCAGTTAATAATGTGAAAGAAAGATTTTTCCGGTTTATGAAGTTCACAGATTGTTTCTGAATATAATTTAAACATCTCTTATTAAGTATTCTTTCAAAGTATATCACAGACTAAAACAACATAAATATTGTTCTTGCAACTGCTCCTCTACTGCTAAGATTACTGATGGCATTAAAAATTGTTACCAAGTCTTAAATATTTGCTGTATTAAAATTTCCCCTTTATCTTCCATCATCAAATGCATACTTCTTCAAATATTACTCCCTAAATCCCTTCCAACATTCTGATATTACTGACATCATATTAAGATTTACTTATTTATTATTTCTATCACTATAGTACATTCTTAGAAAATGTAATGAGAATCCTTAATGAATCATATCTGTATTAAAATTTGTTTAGACCAACACTCTTGAATATCTTTATGAAATGTCATCACAAAGTTAATTGAAATGCTTTGTTTTCATTTTAATATTTTTAGAAACATAGGGCATGCTGTTATTTTATTTTCTTCCTTTTTTTCTTTTCTTTTCTTCTCTTTTATTTTTTTGTTTAACCTATTCAGTTTCTTTATGAGACCTAGAATCAGCTCACCCACCTGTCTAAGGCAGTGGTTCTCAAAATGTAGTCCCCAGTCTAAAAGCATCCACCAGTACATGGGATATTGTTAGAATTGCAGGGTCTCACTTACCAAATCAGAACTCTGGAGAGGGGCCCAGCCTATGTTTTAACAAACCCTCTAGATAGTTCTGAGGTATGCTAAAGTTTGTGAGCCACTGTTCTAGTCTAGACTAGATAATACTACCCCAACTTAACATGAATAAAAATCACTTTGGTAAATTATGTATTTTTGAAATACCTACTTAAATTTTAAACATTGAGACAATCCTTAGCCTTTTGCAATAATTTTTAGGCACTGTTTAAAGTATTATTTTAACACTGTACAGTTTTGCTTTATTGCTGCAAACAAATTGAGAATGGATTGTTATCTATATTATGGTGTAATAAAAGGATTAATACAAATACCTAGTATTAAATGTAAGATAATATTGATACTACCTGCGTGTAATGTCATTTACCCACTATGTCAGTTTTGCTCCAATGTAGCATTAAGTCTGTGCAAAGTTTCACAGAGAAGTAAAAACACAGTTTCAAAAGTGATTGTACACATTTTTTTCATAGGTATTTTCATAAGTATTTTGAAGCCATGTGCATAGATTATTGCTTAGCAACATAAAATCTAGTGATATATATATAAACTCAACATTATACTATTTATATTTGTACACATTGTTAAGAATTGTTTGCCTCATGTGATATAATTTTATTGTCAAAGAAAGCCATGTAACTCATTTTTTGCTTAGACTTTTTCAGTCCATTCCCTAATGTATCTTTCAAAAAGTTTGGAATCATTGACCATGCGTGCATGTTCTGTCTGTGAAATATTAGAAGTGTAATAAATGCCTACACTTGAGAAGCATGCCTTCTAGCTGGAGAGAAAAGACACTAAGGAGCATTGCTTTCACTGCTAAACAAAATGATTTTGTATTCTGTTTCTCTGATAAGTGAAACATTAGAGCATGAAATAAAAGTACCTATCATTTCTCTGGTGTGCAGTTTTATGAAGTTTGGGAAAGAAATGCCTTTACCACTTTGATATTGAAAGAAGAAATTGGGGTAGAGGGATAGAGCTTATAATATTATGATATAATATTTAATATATAAATAGTATAATATATAAATATTATACACACAGTTTTTTTCCTGGTATAAAAAATATATATACCCACACATATGGATTGGGTGCTTGGACAATGTTCCATTTAGATTCTGTTATTCTCATGCCATTGTCAGCATATTTTCAGAATATACAATTAAACCATTTAAGAAAAATTTTAACCTGAAGGGATTAAGATTTATGGCCTGATTATTATTAGAAACATTCTGTGTGTAGAAAAGAAATAAAAACAAAACTCAGTGCCAATGAAAAATGAAAAAAATATCCTTAAATTATTTATGAGTGTCTTTTCGCAGATTGCCTTGCCGTTTATACACACACTTATTTAGATGAATTTGTTTCTTCTTTTACCAACTAATCAAAAGGGCAGCCTATTTTGATGAATACAATTATGATTTTTAAATAAATTCCATTATTTGGTAATTAGTCTGCTTCATTTTATTGAATAGTAGGTGAGGCATAATAATTATTTAGGATTAATCACAATATTAGAAATACATACTTACATCAAGAAAAATGATGATGCTAATTTTTTCTGTAGTTCACGCTCCCTCAGACTATCTAGAAAGCTGTTAAAAATCATGTTGCATTCCTCCCGGTGACATCATTTAGATCTACTAAGATTGCTATTTCAAGGGATTATATATTTCAATGAATGTGTGATCTATATCAGCAGATATAATGAGATATTTAATTGTTTTATTCACAGCTTTGTTAGAAAACATGCACATTTCTTGTACTAATGGCGAAGCATATCATTTGAGAAGCATTATAGAATGGAGAGGGGAAAAAGCCAGGCATATTTATCACCCTTCAGCTCTCATGTTCTGTGTAAAACTTTTATTATTGCCCCAAATTGGGAGAACATTTATTCCCATATGTATCAAAATAGTGGTAAGGCACTGGAATTGTTTTTATTTGTTGTTTTGGAAAACGACCTAGATGAAGTCTACTAGCAATTAACTACTTATTTCTTTGTTTCAACTAAGTAGTTGAAGACAGAGCTAAGTCTTATACACCTAGTGACTAATATATAGGTCTGTAATAAATTTTTTGAATGAAGGAATGGTTAAATGATGTCCAGGAATGTTTGGTGCCCTTGCTTAAAGCACTCCAGTTTGGGTCTTTTGGGGAGAAAATGGCACTAACATCACTGAAGTGGTCCTGGAAACATGAACAAATCACTGAGCAAGCCATGATCTTGTGAAATATCATAATAGTTTTTAACTAGAGCTCATAATTTACACAGCAATGAGTGTGTCTATACAGATGAGATTAGAGAGCAGAGATGGTTCTAGCACTTTCTCCTGAAGAAAGCTAAGAAAAAGTCTTGTTCGGGTGGAAAAACAAGCTACCTGAAAGTGATCTTATTTTGAAACAAAGCCTTTTATTCAATATGCTCATTAGTAACATATATATAAAAATAGATGTTTGAAAATAGATTTGTTTAAATAATTAACATGCAGTGAGAGGTACATCTGTTGTCATTAAAACTGTTAGTATTAAAATGATCATTTCTTTTTATTTATCCAGAAGGTTGAGAATATTTCTCTTTACACCTAATATGAATGTTTTGAAATTTGAACTTGATGCCTAATAGTTTCTGAATAGAATGAATAATCCAAAAGAGTGTCTGAAGAAGCAGTGTATTTCTACTATGTATTTAAAATATAAGACCGTCACAGAGTTGTTTACTTTAAGTACATAGTTAATTGCTTCATTTATTTCTTCAGACATGACAAAGACAGCATCCTTACAGAAAGTGATAGCATAGTAGATTTGCTCTCCAGTACTAATAGACATTATGCTTCCAAGAGGACATTTAAGTGAGCCTACTGGGAAAAATTGGTCCTGATGACTTCTAAAATGAGCATAGCACATTGTTTCCCTTATTTGAAGCAATTCGAGCAGCCATTATTTTTATGAGTTTGTATTTCTTTCACGTTCCTGTGAGTTGGAAGCTCAGATCGCCACAAGAGGGCACTATCTTTCTCTGTTTTCCAAGTTTTGATGCACAGGAAATTGAATTAGAAAACAAATCACTAAAAAGAGGGGAAAATATTCATTTGTTAAGTGCTGAAGAACTAATATTTGTGCAAAAATTAAAATACAAAGTTATGCAAATGTGCTTTTTAAAAACTATTGTGTTTAATAATTAAATATTTAGGCCTCTATTTTGTCTTTGTTTCATTTTTCTAGTAAGTAATTTTTATTGTATTTTACAAATGTATTAGTCTATAGGCTGGATTTTTTTTTTCTTTAAAAGAAAAAAGTGCGGGCTGGCCCAGTGGCGCACTGGATAGTGCGCCGCTTGGGAAGCGCGGCGGCGCTCCCATCAGAGGGTTCGGATCCCACATACAGACCGGCTCCCGCTCACTGGCTGAGCGAGGCGCGGGAGCAACACCGAGGTTTGCGATCCCGTTGCCGGTCCCCGGTCCGGTACGGGGGCAACACTGAGGGTTGCAATCCGTTGCCGGACACGGAAAAAGACAAAACAAATAAAAATAAAAAAATAAAAACTATTGATGCAAATGAAATAAATTCTTTTAAATGTAAAATGTTCAGAATAGAGTTCTACAATTTTCTTTTGATCTCAATTATAGCTACAAAATTATACACACAAACTACCTTATATAAAATCAACAGAAAATTAAAGTACAATATCTAATGAAAATATAAGAAAACTGTTCAATGTACTACATTTAGAATATAAAATAATTCATAAAAGAAACATTTATGACATGGTGGTTAATATTTGTGATTTCAGGGACCACCTGGAAAGGATGGACTTCCAGGACACCCTGGGCAACGTGGGGAAACTGTAAGTGACCCTGTTCTTCTAAGTGAAATTTACCATCACTAGCACCTCATCAAATCTCAGAAAGCTACTTTATTATTAGCATTTCAATTACCAGGTTGAAGATAATAGAGGAATTAATCCCTTTGAACCCCTTATTAAAATATATAAATAAATATATAAATAGATCCACGTTTGTACCTAAGCACACTTATGCTAGAGGAAATAGGACATTACTTGATGATTGCTCTTGTTGACACTAGCCACACTTTAGGGATGAGCTGATGGAGAAGATCACATTATGTTTTTGACATCTCCACAAGATGTTACCTTGACCCTTTTACTGAAGTCTGCCTATAGATACTTTCCACCCAAACCCATCACTAATCCCCTCTCTAAAGGCTACACGTAACAACAGGCCATGCACATAATACAAATTCTTCTGTCCAGAACTAACGGATGAATAAATTTGCTAATGTTTGGACCATAAGGGTTTAATTGGTCTGGAACTATGGCAAATGCATCCTTTCACATCGAGTAGAAAAATGTAAACTGAAAAATATGACTTAATTTTATTTAGAAACTAAAAGGAATATAACATTAAACAAATTGAACAATTTATCATGTATATTATGATTTGGGTAGAGGGGAAACTAGCAGCTCAACTACGGCTTAAGTATCCTTGTGGGTTTGTTTGTTTATTTATTCTGCCACTGTTGCAAAACTGTGCTTCTGGCTATCCCAGTGGGTTGTTATTCTAATCAGAAATCATTACAGGGTGGCAAGTTTCCATGGAACCTATTCTTTGTTTGTACTATTGATTAATATTATACAAATTTTTTTAAAGAAACCACGACACAGACTACCTTTCAGTATGTGGTTCAAAATCATGTTAGAGCATTCAACCATCATGAAGACATATTTGGAGTTGCATAGCAGTACACAATAACAAATCTGAAAATATTCTGAATTTTCTGCTGTGGAGAAACAAGTCTATCACCAGCAACCCTGTCTCACTCACCCAGTGACAATTCTTAGTTTTAGCCACATTGGAAACTTCAAAGTCTTGGATTTCAAAATCGGAATCAAGATAAGATTTAGTGACACCAAAGAATAAAATTGTTTGCGTTTCCTCTTGGGAATGACATCAAGGACAATGACATCAAGGTCATTCCCAAGAGAGAATAAAATAAATATTCTAGAGGAGAATCCACACTCAAATTTGCAAATGCATTCTCATTCAAATCTTGCAGCCAATCATTTTTAATGAAATCATTGTGTAATGTCTTGGGAACAACTCTGGAATATTTCCAAAATGTCTTTTGAGGAAACGATACCTGGAGCTTTTGCCTGTATCCAAAGTAATCCTATTATATATAACATTTAAATTTAAACAAAGAAGAAAAGTAGCATATTAGCTAAAATTTCTAGAATGGATATCCTAGTAGTTTCTCATAGATGGAGGCCAGAATTATTTCTGGGAAATTGTATTACTGATTTCACACCCACACGTAAGATAATAGTGAATCACCCTATGGCCAGTAACCATCCTTTCTCACCTTGTTCTATGCTGACTGGGATTCAAGAGATTACCCTGTACAGGAGTCAGAATCTAAAGAGGCTATGCTTTGCCGTTTATCTCACCTTATTTCACAGAATGCATTATTTATTTTATTTGAGATTTGTCCCCAGTCAAAAATCCTTCAAGTTTCATTCTGATGTCTTACATTCTGAAGCTTTTGAAGGCCACTAGGAAAAATAAGAAATAATTTCTATTATATTGAAACGGCCCAGATTTATCTCAGAAACACAGTGCCGAATCCTGTATTGATCCTAAATTAACTTTGTCCCTTAGAGATGATCATAATAGGAGTTATATTTATGTTGGTTCTTACAACAAACATGGGTCGAACTACCCATGAATGTATCAAATTAGTTTTCAGTGACTTTGAAAAACATAATTTAACTTAAATTATTCTAAAATTAAATGGCAAGTGTAGTTTTATTGTACAATAGTACTGAACAAGCACATTCCACTCTGAACTATAAAAGTTTTCCTGTGCATAGCTTATTTATAAGATCCCGAGTGTCAAATTTATTAGACACTTGAAAACACTCTGAATGTTTCCTATGAGCAGACATACGGACAATGCTCTCTTCCAACTCCTCCCAAATCCGTCATCCACGCAAGTAGGCTAGCAGCCAAACTTTTCTCTTTCCCCTCAGAATGCATAAATGCAGGTCTGGGCTGTAAACTTTCCACAGACTTTCTTCAATGAACTACTGATATTTAATCAATGAATTTTAGGCATTAATTATTATTACAATAATTTTTTGTGTGTTATTCTTGCTGTCACTGTTACTAAGACAAAATGCCTTATAAGAATTTAAGTATTTTAAAGTTCAGAATTGCATTCCCATCTCCATGTCAAATTTAGTGATCAAAAATTGGGAGAAGGGTAATCCAGACAAGCAGCAGACTGGGCCCAGATTGTGTAAAACTTTGTCACCAATATTGCATGATATATGTTTAGCAATGAGTTGGTTAGATTTGCTTTTGTGATTCTGGCTAACATGGACAAGTAAATGAACTGGATTTGAAAAATTCTGCAATGTTCAAGGAAAGAGTTGACTGTCGTTTGAATAACACAGGTCTACTGGGACAATACAGAAGAAGCTGTATTTGAAATGTTCCTCATGCTAGGATTAAATGATTAATTGAATATGAGGACTGAAGGAAAGTCTGGGCTCTGAAGGCATTTCATTAGTAAAGAAAGAGAACCCAGGAGGAAATGAAAGAAGATTCATTCAGTCAGCTCCATGTGGAGAGTGTTGAAGAGGGAGCATAACATACATTTGGAAATGTCCAATAGGTGCTTATTGAGAGAGTTTTAGTGTTTGGCACAGATCAGAGGTTTAGACAGAATTTGGGACAGAGCAGTTCATCAGCATAGAGATAACAATTGTGGTCGTGGAGGTTGTTGAGATAACCCAGGGAGTAGTGCATATATATACTCTATACATACACACATACGTCATGCACACAAATGTGTGTGTGTGTGTCCATATATGTGTATGTCTATGTGTGTACATAAGTCTATAAATCTGATTACAGACTTTCAAACCAACCAGTTGCTGAAAAGTAAAGTGCTAAATAAATTCTGTTATTTTCCCCCATCATTGATTGATTTTGCTATTGATAACAATAGTTCCAGTAGAACTCTAATGATCTTAAGAATGATGTCTTTTAAAAAAATCTTTTTTCCCCCGTAACATCAATTACAATAACTACAAATACAGATTCTTTTTTCCTTTATCTACTTATAAAATTTTGTTATTGTAAATAATTCAATCATGTTTATCTGGAAAATTGTAATACAAATTGGGGGTGAATAGTTTCTACCTTCTTCTTTTTAACCTTATTATTTCCAGTCTGATTAGATGTTAGAGTGAAGAAAACTTTTGCAAACACTCTTTGCTTTAATTTAGTTCTCTGAAATGTTTTTCTTCCAGTATTTTCTATCTACTTTTCCAACTGTTAAATGTAACATCTCACATGAAATAGAAATTTGCCTATTGTAATACAATTATACAGAATGAATAACCCATAAGTCTAAACAAATGTAGGTACTAGAAAATGTGCCCAACAGCTTTATTTAGTGAGTACGTTTTACTCACATCAACCAGAGTATATTTTAATGACTGCATTATTTTCAAGGTGCATTTGTAAGTATATTCTTTTGGATTTTAAGAAAAAAATACTGATGAAATGCTGAAGTGATTACTAATCATACAAAGCATTGTTTTTATAAATACATTTTTATGTTTTATTTTATTTTATGAGGCTGTTGGAATGCAGTAGAAGAAATGCATTAATGTCACAGACTATATATTTATCTCTGTGTAGGAAATTAGTGGACGGTTCCAAAGAAATCTAAACCATCATTTCTTTCATCCGTAAACATTGCTAGGTTAAAATTCTGTTGTTGGAGATGGTGGAACAGGCTAAGAACACATTTTTGCTCCAGCTTCATCCTATTATCTTATTTGTTTAAGTTTATTGAAAGTAATCATTGCACTGCAATATGAAATAGTGAAGATGGGAAATTTTGAATTTTAGAAAGAACTGGAATATAATAACTCATATGTAAACCCTTGAAAATAAGTATTTTTAACTAAAAGGTGACTTTCTTTTAGTGATACTTACTCAATTCTCTCATAGAATTTTAATTTGTGCTTTATGCTGTGTGTAGCTTTTATAGATTATACTTTGCTTCCTTAGGGATTTCAAGGCAAGACTGGCCCTCCTGGGCCAGGGGGTGTTGTTGGACCACAGGTATGTTCCTTTACATTGTTTCCCTAGCAAGATTTATTTTTCTCCTTATGTTTCCACCTTCCTAATTTATGTAAAATCTGCCCATTTTATTATGATTCAAAGTAATGCATTTTTTATTTCAAATTGCATTTAAATATATACAGCTTGCCTATATCTAGTGAAACTCAGTAAACTATTACTTAAGTGATTTTTCAATTGCCTGTATAAATGTAAGAGAAGAATAAAATAAATAATAAAAATTAATCACAAAATTCACAACAATTTTAACTATAAAGCCCAATCATGGTACCATTTACTAAAAAATCATACATATATATGTAATAGGTTGGCCATCATCTTTTTCCAGAATTTCAAAGTACAAAATGATTTCAGGTTTCTGAGTATAATTTAGATTTAGGAGTATAATTTAGTAGAAGTAAAATATAAAACTTTGAATATCACAGCATTTAAAATTTAATATTTGTAACATATTACATGTTTCTTAAGATTTTTGTCTTTATATATTATATTTTATATAATATATTATATTTTTACTATATTATATTATAAAATATTATATAAATTATATTATGAAATTATAAATTATAAAATTATAAATTATATTATAAAATATTATATATTTTTATATAATACATTATATATTTGTCTATGTATTATAGAATTAGATTTACATCATAGATAAAAATTAGTTTGTTATCTTTGAGTACATGCAAAATAATGGCAAAGACAAGTATCTCTTTTAAGACAGGTGGCAGAAAGAATCTGAAGTATTGATATAGATCCTGAATTATAGTACTGAATAGCTATAGAGAGTAATTCGTGGAAATAGAAAATAACATTTCTATTCTCTGGCAAAGCATATTGAATAGGCAGAAGACATTTAGTTTACTCAGCTGGAGTTTTACTTCTGTTAATAACAAATTATAGCAAAAGAGCAAGAGCAGTTGGATACATATCTTAATTATTTAATTGCGTTAAATAGTCTTTTCTCAACCTGTAATTAGTTCTCAACACTTTGTAACACACACACACACACACACACACACACGCCAACGCTCACATCCAAATACACACACACCCAGAGGGAAAAAAAAAGTGCATATTTCTAGGAATATGCATGACAGAAGCAAAAATGAAGAATTCTTGGATTACCTGATCATTTTATTTCAGATATTAATTCTGAACCAAGGGAAATGTTAACTGTTTCTTTTGTTATAAGCGACACAGAGCATGCATGTAAGCATGCATACATTTTTGTGCTGAAGGCCTCCTTTTAACTGCTTGTCAGTTTTAACTTAAAAATTGTATATACACTCCTTCAATAATCAAAAAGCTTCATTCAAAACTACTTTTATTTTTCTGTTTAAAATACCTTCATCACTATTTTCTGTGAAAAAATTTAACCAGAGGAATGATTCATATTGCATTTAATATCCATGAAGAGAAATAGAATTTTTTCTGGACACCTAAAAGTTCTAGATCTATGTTCTTTTGTGTTCCCCTATTATAAGGCATATGCATCCTCATTTTGTTATTTTTCTTTATTGGTCCTTTTAAGAAAAAAATATCCAACTGCCTATTTTAAGTGTAACCATATTTTCATGTTAGGACAAAGGAAGTGGCTTAATGGGAGCAATATTGATTGCAATATTCACCTTTTTCTTTGTGTAGTTGCGTGGATCTCTCCTTGTTTTTATATCAGTGGTGATAGTTACTCTGTTAGGATCAATTTTGTAGTACTTGCTGTTAAAATACTGGTGTTCATATATTTAAAAAAAAATACCTTTGAGAGAAATGTTTACACATTAATGGTAAGTTGAGGACTTTCAGCACTTACATAATTAAAAAAATTTAAACCTAGAAATGTACAACCAAATTTGGGCAGATATGTTCATTATCCAAGAACAAAAGGTTAGAATATGTTGTATTTTTAGAAAAATAACAGAGAGCGATATTCCATAAGCAACTACAGTAACACATTCCAGTGTTTAAAAATCTTAGCACCTGGAAATTTTCCTTTTTATATATCTTTAACTTAAATCCTTCATTTTGCTTTATTCTAAGTGGAGATGAAAACAACTGACCTGGTACCATTCTCTGTTTATGCTTGAAAGCTTATTATATACTCTAGCACCACAAAGCAGCACCACTCAGGGGACATGTAAATGACCTGATATTTTTCACTTTGGCATTTGCTGCAATTTAACGCAACTGGCTATTTGTTATAGCCTTCAGCTGGGAGGAATTGCTGGCCCAAACTCACTGCCTTCAGTATCCCCCTGCCACATTCCCTAGACTTTGCCAAACGAATATAGATTAACAGCACAGAGGTCTCCATCTGGTGGAAGTTTCAAGGAGAACCACTTTGGTTGTTTGGGTTCTCAGGGAGCTATGCTCAATATCGAGTAGTGATTCATTGTTTAACTACCACCAGTGCCTCTTTACTCCTAAGCTGATTTGACATCATATATTTATATATATATATATATAAAATGGAATGAAACCGTAGTTAAAAAAACACAATTTTAACAGTACTTGAACTGGCCTTACTCTGAAGTGATTCTAATCACAAGCAAAGAAAACATCCCTGAACACTCAGATTATGAACGAGATTACACATAATCTTTTCAGATTCCTACCAGCTATGTTACTTTCAGTGCTTTATATGAAGTGTTTTGTAGGCCATCATGAGAATGATAACATTTTGTGAAAGGGAGATATATGTATTTTGAGTTTGTGTTATCTTTGCCAAACATAAAAGATAAATCTGATGTGGTTTTGCTTATCTAATTTAGGGACCAACTGGTGAGACTGGTCCAATAGGTGAACGCGGGCATCCTGGCCCTCCTGGCCCTCCTGGTGAGCAAGGTCTTCCTGGTGCTGCAGGAAAAGAAGGTGCAAAGGTACAAACTGTTCAAGGAGTTTTCTTAGCTCAAAATATCAATGCACTTTTCAGTGTACTTCTTACTACTTGTCCTCAGATTCTCTACACTTTGGCATAGTATTTAAATGAATGTCAATTTTGGCATAGTGTTTAAATGAATGTCTGAAAGATATGTCAGGAGAATATTCAGTGTGAATTTATTGTAGACAATAAACTTTAAGACATTACTGAAAAATAAAATAAGGCCAATTATTCCACTGACCATAAAACTGTCAATTTATATACACCTTTAAATGTAGGTAGTGGGTAGCTTATTTTAATGTACACGACTTTCCACACAATATTCTCATCATTAAATGATACTCTGATTTACAGTAGTTTAAAGGAATTCTCAATTTTGTTTGTAGAAACAGGTATAGAAATTCCACCTTATTGATAGATGTATATTATATTCCTTAGGGTGACCCAGGTCCACAAGGTGTCTCAGGGAAAGATGGACCAGCAGGACTTCGTGGTTTCCCAGGTGAAAGAGGTCTTCCTGGAGCTCAGGTATAATCAACATATAGATAAAGCATGTGAATGAAATTTCTTATTAGAAGCACTTCCTGACATTCTTATTTTATCACTCAGACTTCTCCTATTTATATTCAATTCACATTGATTGGTTTTCTTTGCTTTTTTCCCCCTTTTTTCCCAGGGTGCATCTGGACTGAAAGGAGGGGAAGGTCCCCAGGGCCCACCAGGTCCAGTTGTGAGTATGATGATAATAAACAGCCATGCTATCCATGGTTACAAATCACAGCTCTTCTTTCATTACTGTCATGCTGTGATCCCACAGTGTGTGAGAGAGAAAATAAACACATGTCAATCAAATCAGTCAGTGCCTGGTTTCTACTAATTGCATGCACTAATGAGTGCAGAAACAGAAGGGTTTAGGCAATTGGAAATATTTGCTTCTGCTGCTGTCAGGAAGTAAAAGGAGCTATCTTGACTCTTATACTTCCCAAGGAAATAAAATATAATTATGAGTAATAGAAACTCATGGTCACGGAAGACTTGGAGAAGCTTTACTTTGAATAATTTTTATTTACTTCATCTCTTTCCTCTCATTTTAAAATGAATCATAAAATAAGATTCAATTTTTTACACATTATAATTCTATCATTCATTTATTATAAAAACAGGATTAATTTGTCGGTTTCTAAGTAGTTGATGAAACTTGAATTTGTCAATGATAAAAAAAAAAAATCCCATAAGCCTGAAGAACATAAATCTATTTAATATATTATCCAGATTGTTTCATTTAGTTAACTAACATTAGGAAATCATTGGCAAATAAGTAAGTATCAGTTTTTTTTTTTTTTTTTTTTTTTGGTTTTTTTTTTTTTT